AGGTTGGATGGCTTGTTCCTCATCACTCTATGTACGGTTACAATAATGATGCCATGCGTTATAATTAGTGGGGTTGTAAAATCTATCAAAAAACCACAGTGAAGTCCTACGATGCAAATTACGTAGGTTGCAGTAGAATACATATATATATAGCAAGTGCATACAACACCCATGTCCTGGTGGATCTACTTTGTATAAAGCGGCAGTCTTGGCATTCGATCCTATTGCCTATGTAAGGATCCAGGTTAACAATGTATGTGCATCTAGTACATTAACAGTGGCGCATTATGCAACTCTAAGCTACGAGCCATATTTGAGGTAACTAATAACACAGGGTACAGCTCATGTTGCACCGTATATCTACTTGGCAGACTACACAAGTGGCTAGATGGATAGATCATGTACTTAGTTGAACTTCTATTGCACATTTTTTTAGTTCCTTCATAGAAAGAGCACAGAGATGAATTCATCCATGTCATCACAATCGTATCCATTACATCCGAGTGCGTTGGCGGGGAGCCGAACGGATGATGTTGTCCACCCGTAGGAGAAGCTAGGAGAGAGTCAGCACGTATTCCAAATCGAGTATCAAGAATAAGAGACAGGGAATTACATACCTCGGCTGCCTCTGAGGCAGACGAAACCACCGCCTTCTTCAATTTATAAGCCTCAACCACACCAAGCTCACGCATATCCGCAATACCACCACCGGGCGTCAACAGATCCAGACCGGAACTGGTCATACCATTGTTGATGGCCGAGCGCAGGCGAGTCACCAGATCACTGGAGTCCAGACCGGCGTTATCGGCAAGAATGGTAGGCAGCTGCTTCAAAGCGTGGGAGAATGAGTCGACAGCAAGTTGCTTCTTGCCGGTTGTGTTCTGAGCCGCCTGTTCCACGGCCTTGGACATCACCATCTCGGCGCAGCCTCCGCCAAGTGTCACCCGGGGATCCTTGACAGTCTGCGAGAGGACGGCCAGAGCATCGTGGAGCGAACGCTCAGCCTCATCGAGGAGCTGCTCAGTAGCACCGCGCAGCACAATGGTGCAGGCCTGACCAGCGGCCACACCGGAGAACTTGATCAGGGTGTCCTCACCAATGATAACTTCCTCAATCAAATCACACCCACCCAGCTTGACCTGGTCGGGGTGGTCGAAGGTGGAGGCGATCTCACCACCAGTAACAAGGGCCAGACGCTCGATGCCATCGAAATCGGCGTGCTCGATGGACATGATACCAGCCTCGGTGAACAGCTGCTCGGGCCAGTTGTAGATGAGCTGACGGTTAACGAAGCAGTTAATACCGTGAGCCTTGATACGCTCGACCTTTTGGCGCATCTTTTCGCGCTCTGCCTTCTCCAACTCAGCAAGCTTGCCGGTGGACTCGACCTTGACTCGAGCACCGAAAATCTTGACCTTATCTGTGTCCATTGCTGTGTTGGCAACCAGGATCTTGGCGTTCTCCAACCGCTTAGGCTGGTTCACACCGACCTTCTTGTCCATAATGAAACCCTCATCGAGGTACGAATCGCTCAGCTTTCCACCGGCCTTCTTGATAATCTGGATGTGAGAAAGATCGGTGGATCCCTTGAGACGCAGAACGGCCTCACAAGCCAACTTGGCGAATTGGTCCCGGTCTTGTGACAAAACCTTCGAGCTGAGTGTTGTGCGGGCAATGGCGTGCAAGTCCTTGCGGAAAGCCTCGGGGTCCTGGCTGCGGTCGACCGCGATAGCCTCGAGAGCGGCGAGGGCAGCTTTGCTGGCTATCCGGTAGCCCTCGATGATAGTCTGGGGGTGAATCTTCTTGGCAACAAGCTGTTCGGCCTCACGCAGCAGCTCGGCGGCCAAAACAGTGACTGATGTGGTTCCATCACCCACCTCGTCGTCCTGGACCTTAGAGATGTTCACCAAAACCTTAGCCGCAGCGTTATCCAAGGCGATGGACTTAAGAATCGTAGCACCGTCGTTCGTCACTAGGATGTCTCCTGTGGATCTGCGAGAGCAGCCATGTCAGTATTTCCGAGGTTATATCAGGACATAGGATTGTCGATAATTCTCCCACGTACGCAGATTGTAGGATCTTGTCCATTCCCTTGGGACCAAGGGTACTCTTCACGAGGTCTCCGACGGCGATAGCACCGACAAAGGCCGATAGACGGGCATTCTCGCCCTTCTCTTCAATGACATCGTCACCAAAGATCTGTGTGGGATTGCCGAAAGATGCCTGGGAGGGGTACAGGTGAGCCAGTGCAAACACATATTTTCCACGCTCTCGTCGGTCGGATTGGGAAATAGCATACCATGATGACCAGCTGAATAAGGCAATCGACCAAAGATCAAATGTCTTGCTGGAAAGGTTGAATCAACTTCTCCTGTCAACAGTGGGGTGGGAAAGGAGAAAAGTTGCCGCACGATTGGCCCGAGCTTGTGATTGGCTGCACTGCATCACCGCCCGGGATGCCTCTGGACGTTTCCTTTCTGTCGTGATGATTTCTTTCGCTAGAATTGACTTTGTTTCTGTCAATATCGACAATGGCTGACTCCGGCGAACTCGCTCAGGCTCCCGTGAACAAGCGGCCTCACTCTGCTGTTGAGGCTGAGAATAGTGAGTCCACTGCATCATGGATACTGTCCAGACCGCTCCCTCGAATGGCATGTAATAGATATTAACTTTATGCGATTGCTAGGTGATGACTCCTCCGACGATGATTTCGGCCCTGCACTGCCCTCGGAGGTAGCCCCCAAAAAGAAGCGGCGCAAGCTTCCTTTCGAGAAAGTCTACATCAATGCGCTACCACTCTCCGCGCGGTACTCCAAATCTCTTATGCACAAGGACCAATTATCCTTTGTGACTGTTGCACCCTATACAGACTTTGTGATCACTTCCTCCGTCGATGGGTTTGTCAAGTTCTGGAAGAAGATGGCGGAAGGCATTGAATTCGTGAAGGAGTTCCTTGCTCACAAAGGCGAGATACGGGGCGTAACTGTCAGCGCCGACGGCCGCAGTTTCGCGACAGCGGGAGTGGACAAGACGGTGAAGATATTTGATGTTATTACATTTGGTAAGCTCGGCATCTGCGACTCTCGTGGTTTGGTGACTTACTGGCATCAATAGATCTCTTGTCGATGTATACGCTGGACTTCGTGCCTCGATGTATTTGCTGGGTACACCCGCGCGGGGCCTCGCTTCCCCTGCTAGCTGTGACAGACGAGTCAAGTAATACGATTCAGGTATTCGACGGACGTGGCGAAAATCCACAGCCATTGCACATTTTGAAGTCGATCCATCGCAACCCCGTCGTCTCACTAGCGTTCAACAACGCCTTCGATTGCGTCGTCTCTGCCGACGAATCAGGAATGATTGAATACTGGAGAGCCGGGGATGGATCTTTCGAGAAACCTGACAACGTCTTCGAGCTCAAATCCTCAACAAATCTCTTTGCATTTAAGAAAGCCAAGTCCGTCCCGACAGCCATCACAATCTCCCCATCTGGCGAACACTTCGCCACGGTTTCCTTCCCAGACCGACAGATTCGAGTGTTTGACTTCGCAACTGGAAAACTTCACCGCACATACGATGAATCAATAACCACCATCACGGATATGCAGCAAGCCGGGACAGCGCCGTACGAACTTGACGAAGTAGAGTTCGGGCGCCGCCTGGCTGTCGAGCGCGAACTCGAAGGCGAAGCAACCCGCAGCAAAGTAAACGTATCCTTTGATGAATCTGGCCACTTCCTACTCTATGGCTCCCTCTATGGTGTGAAATGCATCAATACCTACACAAACCGGGTAGTCCGTGTTTACGGCCGCGAGGAGCCCTTCCGAGCACTCAACCTCGCATTGTATCAAGGACAACCGCAACGCAAAGGTGTCGTGACCGTCTCAATGGCAGCCAGTAGCAACCCACTCCTCCAGGAAGCCGAAGAACGCGACCCCATTCTCTTCAGCACCGGCTTCGCCAAAGTGCGCTTCTACATGTTTACGAACGAAACAGAAATCTCGAAATCTACCCGGGACGTCCAAAACGAGAAACCAACCCAGGCAGCTGCCGGCACAGGTACAGCAGTTACCAAAGCCGCTGAGACTGGCACTGCTGCAATTCTGCACACAACCTTCGGTGATATTCACCTACGCCTATATCCCTCGGCTGCGCCCAAGGCGGTGGAGAACTTCGTCACACATGCCCGGAATGGCTATTACAATAACACGATCTTCCACCGTGTGATCCGCAAATTCATGATCCAAGGTGGTGACCCACAAGGCGACGGAACTGGTGGTGAGTCTATCTGGGGCGGGGAATTCGCTGACGAGTTCTCTGTTCTTAAGCATGATAAGCCGTACACCCTGTCGATGGCCAACGCCGGACCCAATACCAATGCTAGTCAGTTCTTCATTACCACGGAGAAGACGCCGTGGTTGGATAATAAGCATACTGTATTTGGGCGTGCGGTGCAGGGCTTGGATATCGTGCATAAGATTGAGAATGTGCGGACGCATAAGGAGAAACCGGAAGTTGATATTAAGATCGTTAGCATTAGTATCTCGTGAGACACCAGCCCCGGGTGAAATCCAGGTAGATACTGTATTACAAAATATGTATAAGGAATCATGAAATGCGCGCAGGCGTTGTACTATGTACTCTGTCACTTGGTCAGACAGCTTGAATAAAAAGGAAAATAGCGAATATGAGCGTAAGAGAGAATCGACGCAGTCGTCAGCAGAAATCCAGTCCGCTATACTCCAGGCCAAAAGCCCGAGAGAACAAGGAAAGGGAAAGAAAGTAAAGGAGAGTAAAAAGAGAGTCACAAGGCCAACAATAAGAAAGATACAGCGCACAGCGTGAAGCCCATTATCCGTGCCAAACACCAAGAAATGCAACCATAGCCGGGTGGTATGGTGTGGAGGTAGCGCATTGCAAATAAGGAGAGAAAGAAAAAGAAAAAAAAAGGACATGAGAACCCCAGATATCCAAAACAAGATCAAACACAAAGCCTTAAGCTAAACCTGGCGAATCTCCACATCCGCAGACTCCTGTTCGATCTTCGTCAATCGTGTCCGAGCCCCGGGGACGGGAGTGCTGGTCTTCGCCATTGTAGAGCGCGAGCTACTAGCCAGAGAGTCAGAACCGAGGCCATGCGCCTGCACAACCGGTACTGGACCGGGACCCCAGGCGGCGTCGTGCGGAACGGGCAGGGAAGCGCTCAGCATGCTGCTGCTGCCACCGTGGTAGAGATTGGGCCGTCTAGCGTCGTGGCGGCGTTTGAGCCATACGCCGACTACAGCGATGGCAGAGAATCCGATGACCAGCACGATGAGCATGATAACCCAGCGCCAGTGGGAACTCCACCTTATGCGAGGGGAATTTGGGTTAGCAATTGGTTCTCGGTGCGGGTGTACTTGGGGGCTCCAATTTGCGCTGCAGTGTGGGGATCAAACATACCATGACGGATTCTCGTCTGAGGCGGAGGCGGAGGCGGATTTGTTCGTGTTGGTGGTGGAATCTGATTTAGTGACACCAGATGTAGAGGCTGCGTCGGGTGAAGAATTGGTTCCTGTGGCGGCGGTGTCCGTTGTATCCTTCCCGCCGGAGTTGCAGTAGTTATTGTACCAGGTTGAGAGGGTGGTTTGGTCGGCGGCGCTACAGGTGGAACAGACGCTGCCGGACGTTTTGAGACCTGTGAGAAGGGCCGACTGGCAGAAGCATGAGGTCCAGGTTGAGGCGTCGGCTGCTTCGCAGGAAGTCTCCGCGTTTGTCAGGACGGTGCACGTCAGACCGCATTGCGGGAATGTACTGGAGGCAGATGTGGGGAGGATACTGTCGGCGGCTAGGGCTGAGATTGCGAGGGCGATAAGAGTGAGGAAGAGAACTGGGAGGCGCGTAGGGAGTGACATTTTGAGAGTGGTCGGTTTTTTTTTGTTAATGAGGGGTTGAAATAGCGAATGTAAGGGCCCTTCGGCTCAAGTTGATGTCTGAATAGAATGTCTTCAGTCCATAGCTGCGTTGGGTTAAAAGAGAGAAAGAAGAGTCAACCAAAAGACCAGAAAAGTAATGGTTTTGGGTCTAGTCGGGGGGCCGAACGATGCCGGATATAGTATTTTCTACTCCGTACTTTTCTTTGGGTTTTTTAATTGGTTCTGCTTGAATAAGGGACTAGTTAGTATTAGGGTACTATATATTAAATGCTACGAATGCCACTAGTTCTTTTAATTTCTTTTAATTACCTTATATGGTATATAGGTAGTATTGTAGCCTGACAGTAGCACTGGATTCTTTTTAATTTCCGCAAGCGGGAAATCTCCCATTCCCTCTTGACACCCAAATCTTTAAATCTTTAAATGAAGTAGTAAGTAGTATGTTGTATTTCTACTTTTACATCGCTGAATGCAGTAAATGATTGACCCGAATCCCACGTTTTAAGGCTATTTTCGACTAACCATTGCCTTGGCTGAAGATCATACATTTCCCATGCAAGGAGGTACTGACATATATGATGTACAGTGATATATACGGAGTATTCCGTGCTTAGGAAGCTGTTCAGTTTCTTCTAGATCTTATAAATTGTTTAACTCCAAGGGCCCACGATCGGCAGTCGTGCATGTTGGAATAAGATAAATCTGTTTTCAATGTCTTTTTAAACTTATAAGATTATATAGGCATCCTTGGAGTATAATAGTATAGATTTTTGATCAAGATTGAACACAAGATATTATTCTTATATCATATTGAGAGACCACTTTACTGCCTTAATCCCGCTGCCTTCGCTTATTATGTACATTTCTACCCCCTTAGGCTGTCAGATTCTATTTATGTCTTGGTTCGATGTTTTTCGACCGGCTAAAAAGACGTAAGATAAATATACGTGAAAACTGGGGGTTCTATCCTTTGACATATAATACAACAGGTAAAGGCGGACTAAGGTGCAATGTGGTCTCAAGCCACAGAAGGCAGAGAGAAATTGCATGTCCCTTTTAGGTCATTTCCCCCGTGGATTCTAATAGGGGGGTTATTATATCAATCATAGCGTGTAAACCTTGCAAGGCCTGAAGAATAAGAATAAAACAAGTAGAAATCTATCCCGAGGGGATTAAGCCCAATGATTGGATGATAACCTATTATTCCTTTCAAGGCTCTCCCCCGCATTCCCTCCCTTCTCCAAACAACCCTCCTATCATGCCAACAATGCCTTCCCGTCAACTCCTTTCAACCCTAATAACCTCCCTCAGCAACACTCGCTGGACCTTAACCCGAACCCTCCGGAGCGATAACCCCTTCGACCTAAACGGCGAGCTCCGCGGGACCGCAACCTTCACCACGCAACCCCTCACCCCTTCCACAACCGAACGCGACTGGCTGTACTGCGAAGAAGGCGAGATACCTAGCAATGTCGGTACAGGCGCTTTGCCGCCGGGCCTACGGTGGACAAAGAAATACATATGGCGTTTGAACAGCGATAGCGGACGCGTCAGCGTCTGGTTCGTGAAAGTTGCGCCGGGCCTGGAAGAAGCAGACTACCTATTCCATGACTTCGACTTCGATTCGGACTCGAGTTTGCCGCTAGAGTCGGAAGCTGTGTCTGCACAGAAGGATACTGGCGAATTCGTTGCGCCGCCTATACCACCCTCTGTCTCAACCTCCGGCAATGAGACCAAGACTACGGTCCTCAATGCCAGGGGAAACCATCTCTGTATCAATGATATGTATCGCACAGCGTATGCATTCCGCATAAATCCTGATACTGGGGAGGTGCTTAGCTGGGCTAGTCGACATGTTGTGCGTGGGCCAAAGAAGGGACAGGAAATTGTTAATCGGTATGAGATGGAGGTATGAGATGGGGCTTAAAGGATCCTACAATTGCGACACCTCTCGCACGAGGCTGCGACCGCGTTCTGCTAGACACCTTACAAAACGTGACGCCGTCTACTAGAATCATGATGATGATCACAATGTTCATATTTCACACTCATATCTCGATGTGGCTCCGCTCTCCCTTCCACACCCATCTGGCTATCCCACCGTTGTTCACAGCGTGTAAATGAAATCCGGTCTCTTATCGCCCAGCAACTCGATCTGGTTCCGGTCCAAGCCCTGGACCCAGTGGTCGCGTTCGCCGCGTCTGCGCTTGCCATTCTCACGCCGCAGCAGGAGGTACTGCAACACGGATCCACCAAAGAGGAATATGACCAGGTAGCCGAGTACTACTCCGTGGCCAGGATAGTATGTTGGTTTATCAGCGTCGCGGTAGATGTTGGAGGAGACGATGCCGTTGAGATTTCCCCAGCCGATGATAAACCCGAGGGAGACACCTCGTTTGTATACACCTAGACAGCAATCGAGTCAGTCTTCGATTCCATTATATATACAGGATAAGAGCGGCATCCAGGGTGAAAGTTACCTTCGGTGTTATTACTAGTCCATGAAATCGTGTTCGCAATGGCTGGGTAGATGCCCATGGCTCCGAGGAAAGTTCCCGCGTAGCGAGCGCCGGCAGACTCACAGCCTAGCAGCATACTGAATCCTACCATACCAAGAATTGACACAGCCATATTGCAGAGACCACGCTGTCTTGTACGGTCTGCAATGAAGCCAACTGTCACTGTCAAGACGGCGGCGGCGGCATATGGGGGTACACTCAGCAACTGTGCACGAATCGAGCTGTAGCCTGTAGAAGCAGTCAGTTAGTAAATAGCTGGGATATGCTGAGCGCAACAGCGAATATCAAAATTTACCCTAGGAGAACCATGTTAGCTCCAATCTCTCCAATCCCATGGCATAACTCACTAGTTGATTGATAATAGTAGGCACGAAAAGCGAAAACGCATAAAGCGCCCCATCAGCGCCCATATATATCATAGCGCCAGTGTAAGTCTTCCAATCCTTCAGACTGGACCAGAAGTAATCCATCTTAAACTCCTCATGCTCAGCACTCGATTGCTGATCCATGGCGAGTCTTCTAAGCACGCGCTTGCGGTCGATGTCCGACAAGAAGCTTGCCTGATCAGGGAAGTCATAGACACACCAAAACGAGGCAACGCCAATGCAAAACGTAAGAAGGCCTTCCAGGATAAAAATCCAAGACCAGCCCGGCTTTCCGGCCACGCCATCCATCTTCGCAATCGCTGCTGCTAGCAGACCTCCGAAGGAACCTGCAAGCGCGGCCGCAGAGAAGAAAATAGCCATGCGCACGCCAAATTCTGAGCGCTTGTACCAGCACGAGAGGAAGTAGCCTACTCCGGGGAATAGACCAGCTTCAGATAGGCCTAGGAACCAGCGGACTGCCATTAATCCAGAGAAGTTTTTTACGAAGCCCATGCAGGTCATGCAAATTCCCTATAATGAATTAGACGATTACTGTGAGAGAGGAAGGGAATATTTCACATACCCATGCCATCATAATGAGGGGGATAAAGATACTCGGCCGCAACCGCTTGAGCAGGACGTTAGTCACGGGCTCGAAGACTGAGTATGAGACGAAAAATATAGTCAGTGTTGCATTGTATTGGGAATTGGTCATGTTCAGGTCTGTTTGAAGACCGACAAGCTTCGCGTTGCCAATATTTGTTCTTGAAAGGAGTGATATTAGTTTGCGGTATTTCCCCAGAAGCGAGCAATGGTTCTTTTGCTTACCGATCGAGGAACGAAACGAGATAAAGTAGACTGAGCCACGGGACGAGGCGCATGTCGAGTTGCCATAGTAGCTTGCGATCCTATCGAGTTTGTGTTTTGGTTAGTTACTGTGACTGCAAATGGACTTTGAATTAGGGTAAATTGAGAGAGATAACACACAATTGCTGCTCTTTCCTCATCGCTCAATCCTGCGTCGGGATCCTCAAATCCGGCTGCAGTAAGCGGATCCTTGGAGTCAAGAATTCTCTCTGGGTCTTCCAACCGGGTGTCAGTTGGTTTGTCGGAAGTATCAAAAGCCATGATGCAAGATCGAATAGATCAGCAGGGGGAATTCTCCGAAATGTGCGACTGCTTTTCGCCGACTTGCGAGCTCTTTAAAAAGAACAGGGAAGACTCGCCAAAACCGAAAAATAAAAGCCACTAAGCACTAAAGAGTGGCCAAACGCGCCACGCTTTTATCCGGCAGATGATCGAGACTCGCCAAATGCTGGTATTATGGTTACATCCTAGCCCGTGTGCAGGGATTGTAGCATTAGCTTGGATCTGATTGTTGGGGCCCCGGGGTGATCGGCATGGTTTTAAGTGGTTGGGGTACGATCGGCGTGGGGTGAAGTGTCATATCCCATATTAGAAGCGAGTTACAGGAATAAAGGGGGCATCATCACTGTATACTATTTGATTTAGATTGAAGTCCAAAAATTATATAGTATAGTATTTGAGATACATAGGCCAAGTCTGGGCATCCGGGGAAAATTAGGGTAAACCCCCACATACCCCGGACCCCACCGCTTCCCGTCCCCCATGGACACTGCCAAGTCCATGACGGCCCGCTTGGGAACATGAGACCTCGGCTTTGCTTAGAAATTCCTCTATGTCTATGGGGGTGTACCCCCCGGGGGTACCCCGGCCGATAGCACCTCATGCACTCGGCCGATAGCACACGGATGTGACCGCAAGGATTGCCGCCAAAAGTCCGGAGCTAGGCGTGCAGGTACTAAAAATTAAACATGAGATTGACGGTGTAGCCTCGTGACTCGACGGTAAGCGTTTCCTCGTGTTTCGATTGCACGGTAGTGGACTCGGCGTACCGGAAGGATTGTGTCAGCATTGCCTCGCTAGTGGTTTTGCTCCCTAGCCCCGAAGAATTTGTGCCAACATACCGCCATAGTAAGGTTGTTTTGCACGCTATTTTTCCCTGTCAGTTACGCTAGTCCCCGCATTAGATGTGCGCGGGACAGGGACAGCTTTGATGGCCCTCCTATGGGCCCACCTACGCAGATGAGCTCTCGGCAGCATGGTTGTTACAGTGAAAAGATTTTAGAGCGCCCGTGATGATTTGCTTATTGGACTCGAGGTTTTGGGCTCTTGATAGTATCATGTCCAGAATAGTTTGTATTCAAGATATTGCGTGTAAATGCAGTCAATGGAGACCTCGAAATTCATGTATGTACCTGAAAAGCAGGCGATAGCCAAGCGGCTTACGCTCAACGCACGCGCCTGTTTCCCCTTCTACTAGCTATCATTAGATCAGAGCCGCCTCTCACATGATGCAGATACAAGAGCCAAGTGATCAGCCAACGGTATTCTTGTAATACCATTCCCACCCCATGTGTCTACAGCCCATCCTTTCGCCTGATATCACCTGGACGGGATTGCGGCTTAATGGGGTTGCCGAATCCATTGACACGTCCATGGAGCCACTTCAGAGTAATGGTGCTTAATGCCATCACAATGGCACTGAGAGTGAATAGGCCAATACGACCTGATGTTGGCAGTGCTTCGAAGATTGGATATGGGTACCTAAACTAGTTAGTGAGTGACGTCGAAGTACCAGATTATCGACGAACCATCCATTTTGAGAGAAGCATTGTTCGATCCAAAACCAGTAGCTGAAGGCGAGAGTGCCAGACAACGCTAATGCGGGGAGTGCGGTGATTGTCCAGGGTGGGGACAGGAGCAGTAGGTCGATCAACATCACCACTGACGGTGTTGCGTGGAAGCTGATATCTATATTTGTGTTATTAGGGATATCCTAAGGCAAATTTACTTCCTATAGACATACCGGCATGGACCGGAATAAAAACATCTGGGGGGATCACCAAACTCCCGTCGATCTATACTTGGGTTAGATAAATATCGAATTTAGCATCAAATTACTTACCAAGCGAAGACCCCAGTATAAAACACTGATCACAACCTCAAGGGGGGCACCGCATATTGATAGGATGTTTTTGATTAGGAACAGTCGTCGAGACGACGTAACATCCGCGAGTAGTGCAACCGCAAAAGTGAGTGTTGACAATGACAGGCCAATCACGGTGAGGTATTGGAAATGCCAACCATATGCTTCATTACTGTCGAATATAAGTTTAGCGTGGTCTCCAATATCAAAACTAGACGGAAGCTTACGCTTGGTTAGGGTTTTCGTGCATGCTTCAACAATGTCAGCAAGCTCCCGAAGTACAGCATTGGTAGAGGATACATACTATTTGAACGACCACAAAAAGCTCGAAAGTCCGACCAACTGGAAATCAAACCGTCAGTGCACCGAAATAACAAGTTGAAAGGACCACGGTACTTACATGAACCAAAGCCGACAAACCCCGGGAAGGGCTTGCCATCCACTGAAGTGGGTGCCTATCGATGAGAGATTTGGCCATACCGGGAAACAAATTCGAACACAAGGCGCTTTAAAGGTGCTAGTCTGAGGTGTACTTTAGAAAGTTACACCTCTGAAAATGCTATCAAAGCGTAGCTCAACCAATGTGCATCTTAGGACTGCCCAAGTGGAAGCTATGACGTGGGTTTCAAATAAAGAACACGTGACAAGTCGGGGTTCATCGGGCTCTCCTCGGATAAGGCCGTGGGCCAAGTCCCACCTGAGGCCCATATCGGATTATAACATAACCCGGCTGATTCATCGTTCCTTATCTCTACCCATGTGCTTCCCCACACTTTTAGTCTGCGCTCCAAAGACAACCTTGCTTTCTTCTTTGCATGAAAAAAAAAATTGTCACTTGTGTTGTGAGTCTGTGCGCTTTGTCTGCACAGTGAGGTCAATTGGCTTCTAAGTGGGTCAATTGATTATATTGAACAGAGCCATCTTCTGTTTGGAAGCTTGTTTCATATCTTAAGGTTGTCAAGATCGACACTACCCTGGTTACTATCGGCTTCTCAAGTTGCATTCCCATTTCTGAAGGACAGTGGGACTCGGAACTGTTTCTGGCACATCTCCCTCCCATACCTCGATGTGCTTGTATACTAGGTGTGGGTGTCTGGTCGATTATCGCTTTGTCGCTACTTGGGGTCAACGAGGATCGAAACGTAGAAAGCGTGCCAACTCTGACGTGCTTTCAGCGTAAGGTCATCGTCTCGATTGGACCGATACAAAATTGAAAATATTGAACCTGTATGGCGGCGCAGCAGCATATAGTGACCTTCGGCTATTTCTAGCCTCTGTTATCTTGAATTGTCACCGTGTCCTCTTTACAGGCATCGATACTCGACCAGACGCCCTCAGACCTGAAATGCCTCGTCCTAGAAGACCTGGTGCACCGGAACCAAAACGTCGAAGCCGTAAAGGATGTTGGTATGTTACCAAGATGTACCCAAGATTTGCCAAGGTTAACAATCGCACTAGGCCATGCAAGGCACGCAAAGTAAAATGGTGAGTAGCACGATCCCTGCATGATACTCGCGTAGCTAACAATGATTTATATAGTGGCGAGGAGAAACCAGCATGTCTTAATTGCCAGCGACAAGGCGACCCTTGCGACTATAGCGTCCGTCTGAACTGGGGAGGAAGGACGAAACGCACATCAATTGACTCACCGAATTCGCAATCTAGTGGGTATGGAGGAGCTGTAATTGGATTTTCGGACTCATTTGCCATCAACAACCTGAGCCCGATTTCGTTCCCCACTCCAACAAGTAGCAACCCTGCAGATGGATTTCACAACACCCATGCCGGGGAATTGACGTCGCCGGGAGCAGTATCTCCGAGTTCACCAGCACCAGTGGGGCTTTTTGAATCCCCTAGTCTTGGTTCAGGCTCTGAAGGAGTGACATCGCCGGGTCAATTAGAGACTCAGTTTTCCTCAACCTGGGTGGAACAATCTCCTCCATTGACGACATCAGTATCCTCGGCGCCTTCGTTGCAATATCAATTTGGACAACAGAGATTTGATAACTCGTCATATATGGGTTCGGTCGATCAGCCATCCAGTCTCAGCTCACTCTCTGCCTTTGCATTCCATACAAACCCCGTGTCGCAGCCAGTCTCGTACCTGCGCCATTCTGTAGATACTTCCAATCACTCCTCGGATCAACCTATCTTTCACTCTCGTGATGAAGGGCATCTCTCTCGAGGGTCGCATGACGACCAGAGTATACATCTTGGCGCTGGGTCTAGGATAGGGCAAAACAGATCCTCAAACAGCCCGCAGGAAACTGGCGGCCTGTCCTCCATGATTTTCGATTCACACAGAGCCTCGACTGCTGAAAATGATACAACCTCGTCTCCGAGGCCCTGCGAAACAAGCAAAAACATTGACCCTGTACATGACTATCACAATGAATTGTCTCCCGATCGTCAGGGATTGGCAGAGAGCAATAATGAAGCTGATCAAATATCTCACGAGACTTCAATGGCCCAGAACAAATGGCAGACATATCTGAATAATGTGACCGACAATTATGGATTGGACTCCGGGCGCCTTGATCAGGATTTGACTTTCAACAACGATCATGCTGCCATAGATATCAATTATGCGTTGGATTTGATCGGTTCTCGGTGGTGCAACGAGGAACACTCGCATTTGAAAGCCTCTCAACCTGGCCCCGAACCACAGGTCCAGTTTTGTAGTGGTTATTACGCTTCCCCAGTGCCCATCAATGTCCCGAGGTACTTATCTCCGCTTCCGTCATCGCTGCTGGAGAACCCCATCAATTTGATGTACTTCCATCATTTCCTAAATCACACTGCTCGGATGCTTGTCCCGCACAACTGCGATAATAATCCGTTTATCTCGGTTTTACCATCAAGTGAGTTGTGCTGGTCTATGTTATGGTATCTTTCAGAAAGCTGACCAAACAGTGGCAATTGGTGATTCCAATCTCCTCAATTTACTGCTTGCGTACTCTGCTAGTCATCGTGCTCGATACCTAGGCCATCCCGAGCCCGCCAATCGAATCGCTCATTGGGTTAGCCAGGTTTTCCCAACCTTGCGTATGGCATTGGAGTCATCTAACGAAGACATCACCGATAGCCACCTGGCCACGGCCATTATGCTGTTGTCATTGAAGATTGTTTCTCCGGGGACATTTGAAGTACCAGTCACCTGGAAGACTCACCTCAAACTCGCTCGCGATTTATTCCTTGCACGGAGCGAGAGCATGGCAAAGCCTGGGAACAGGATTGGGGCACTCTTCGCCCGTTGGCTGGGCTATCTCGACACGATGGGATCTTTATCATGTCGTGAAGCCGGCCCTCCACTAATGATATACAACTCCGTCCTAACAGTTTGCTCTGCCCCCGACGGTCATGATGACTTCGGTGTTGACTGCTTTACGGGGTTCACCCCCCGCACCGGAGTATTTCTGCTCCGTCTCGCTCGGCTGGTGCAGCAATGTGACAATCAACGCTTCGACGAAATGGGTAATTTTAGACATGATTGGCATGCATCTGCGGAAATGGTCCTGGAAGCGCAATCCGTACTCGGTGATATCGACGGGATCGACGAGCGTCCTCATACTAGCCCGGAACACCATCATGGCGTCGAGTCTGCGGACATGATAGCCATCGAGGAAGCCTTCCGGTCTGCCGGTCTCCTGCATCTCCATCGGCGTGTGCTTGGGTCTCCACCTGACTCGTTTCCCGTCCAGGATATCTTGCGCAAGCTCATTGATGCCCTCGGACGCATGCGTCCTGGTGCAGCCACCGAGGTCTGCTCCTTGTTCCCGCTCTTCACAGCCGGTTGTGAATCCGGAGATTTAGTTCAAAGGGCTAAGCTTTTAGACCGGTTCTTTGTATTGGAGAGCTCAGGCATGAAACAGGTACGTTTGTATACCGACCTAAGATTTGTTGGAAGATATTAGCTGACACCGTATTTACTAGATTCAAAATGCACGTCAATTAATGCAACACTGCTGGGATAAAGAACTGCCTTGGATTGCCCTGGCTAGTGGTCAGTTCCTAGGTTAGAGCAAGAGCTTTTCTGGCTCGAACAAATTGGGTATGGTCTTGGTTTACAGACTTCAGGTTCTCAAATCGTCTGGCAATGGTCTGAGCTTGTATGAAGCACTATATAGCATGACCTCGGGATAGACGAGATTTGGTAGGGGGTTAATAATCCTCACCCTCTAAAAAGGCGAAATATCGTGCAATGCCCGTAACGGCTTGCCCTTTGGCGTGTCAGGTTTGTCCTTTTCCCTTACTTATATCCTCTCACCCTTCACCACCCATGTCTATTACTGTGCTCTTCTTGTCACCAAACTAAATCATCATGTCCATTCTACAACTAGCATTTTGTATTACTGGGACTGAGTCCAAATTGCATGGAACGATTCGTTCTAACTTATATGTATATAGCTTCTTAGCTAATTCTAATATCACTGGGATATCGAATGGACTACAATCTTGTACATATACAAAGTAAATGTATGTCAATATCGAAATCCACGACTCCGCAGCGGGTTTACTAATGGTCGCTGATCCCCCGGCTTCTCCACGCCAAGCCCATCCAACCGAGGTCGCGGTTTGCAATGTATGTAGGCTGTTATGATTATTGAAGGATATAACCGAGATATGATATATAGGGGTATGCAGTTATGTACAGGGACTATGCCTACTTGAACAAAAGACCATACTGCCATCCATCATGATCTTCGATCCTAGTCCCATTGAGCTTCCATCTTCCTACGAAAATGTTGAAACAACCGGCCATGTCGCCGTCTGTCACTATCCCCCAGGAACAGCGGCAGTCACCCCAGTTGTCATTGTTACGTTGAATCGTCCTGCTAAGCATAATGCGTTCACCCACCAAATGGTCCTGGACTTCGAGAAGCTCTTCCCCATGTTCGATGTCGACGAGCGTGTCAAGGTTGTCGTTTTGACGGGCGCGGGAAGGACGTTTTGCGCCGGTGCAGACCTTGAGATTGGTTTCGGCGGTGGCAAAGAAAAGACAACGGAGCATCGTGACGGGTAAGAGGGATGTCCACCTAATAGCCCGGTGTATGCTCTCGCTAAAGAACACAATCCAGTGGTGGACGAGTTTCACTGGCCATCCATAGATGTCGCAAGCCAACAATTGTAGCAATGCAAGGCTCAGCCGTTGGAGTCGGGATGACCATGACTCTTCCAGCAATTATCCGGTAGGTCAATCACATCCAGAAAACATATATCTGCCAGAGCCTCGTTGTTAACATAAATATCCCTTCTCATTCTAGAATTGGCTATGAAAAGGGCAAGTATGGCTTCGTCTTCGCTCGTCGAGGTATCGTCATGGAATCATGCTCCTCGTATTTCCTCCCGCGTCTCGTCGGCTACTCAAATGCCAGCTACCTCGTCAGCACGGGAGGAATATTCCCGCCTACATCTAAGCACTTCGGCGACCTTTTCAATGAGATCCTCCCCGACGCATCACAGGTCCTGCCGCGCGCTCTCGAGCTAGCCAGCGAGATTGCCGAAAATGTCAGCCCGGCTTCGTCGTACCTCAATCGGGCACTTTTGTGGCGCGATACTGGATCGGCGGAGGCTGCTCATCTCATTGAGTCACGAGTCATCAACCATATGTTTGCATCGGAGTAAGTGAAACCTATGTGAAAAAGTTGGCTGCGGATACTTACTATCAGACAGGGACCAGAAGGAGGGCGTTACGGCGTTCTTTGAGAAGCGAAAGCCGAACTTCAAGGCTAACCTTGATGATAACCCGCCGCCGAGTTTGCCGTGGTGGCCGGAGGTCGATACTGGCCGGAATCCCAAAGCAAGAGTGTCTTCGAAGCTGTAAATCCAAAGCTTGACATTGGAAATGGTAATAGCGAGGCCAGTATTTTTTGAAGACATGGGATATAGGAGAATATGGGATGTTGATGATTTGAGGATAGCACTTTGGGTTTTTATTCAGTGCACATCAGACCGCCCGAAGGATGAAGTCTTAACAAATGTCAAGAAAAAAAAGATAGCTATAGATTGACCGCGTTCTCAAAGGTCATTCCCAATACATTGCAATGCCCCAGCTACAAAGACCGCTAATGATATTGTAACAAAATAAACACCGGCCCGGACAAAAAAGAAAATCACCAGATTTGGTTTTCAACAGAAGCTCGAAGAGATTCGACCCTATTCACACAAACAAAAAGGAAATGCTCCAATATCACACGAGAAAAGAGAGGGAAAGAGAGGGTAATTACGCAATGAAGTTGCGGCGCTTGCGGTTGTAAGCCCTCTGATCTTTCAGCCAGTTTCGGTAGCCCGCCACGCTGCCAATCTTCTCGCCGTAGTAATCGGGAACAGGGTTAGAGATCGAGTTGGTCGAGGGATCGACACGGAACCGGCGAATGCGATCGAAGAACTCCTTCTCTTTCTACACAACGGAAACAAAACGGGTTAGCACAGGCCAGATTTGAATCACCACTCGCTTGTCTTGTAAGTACTCACCGTATTGACAGAGGGCTTGTACTTCCTGTACACAAGACCCCAAATGCCATTTCCGAGAGCCGGTCCAAGAAGCCATCCAACAGCACCGCACGCGGCGGTCGCCAATCCCAGGACGATAAACGGATCGAGACCCATAACCGTCGCGCCGAGATGTTCAAGGTCCTGGCCGGACAGGACCTGGATGCCGACGCTGGTGCTGATAGCGGAGCTGGCAACTGAGGAGACGAGGGAGTATCGGCGGCGGGAAGCGCGGAGCTTGAAGAAGGAGTCCCAGTCGAGCTTGACTTCGTTGTTGGCGGGTGCTGAGGTCGAGTTTGCGCGCAGGGCAATGGGTGATGGTGACACAGCCTTGATTTGTGGCCGGAAGTCTACGTTTAGTGTTGCGGCAGCCGGGCGAGCTGTCGTGGAGCTAAGGCGTGTGAGTTGCTTGGATGCCATCTGGGGAGTGGTCTGGAGGGGGCGGAGAGCGCCGGCGAGCGAGGGCGCGGCGGGGTTTAGTCGGCCAAGGAACATGGTTGTGCGGATAGACATGCTGATGGGATTGGCGTGCATTTTGGTGAGGAATTGGAGTCGATTTAATTGCAGATTCCAAGTCTTGAGGTGAAGTGAGAACCGGAGGTGGAGCCGGTTTATGTAAGCGGAATGGGCCCGAATGTTGGAAGAGCCACAACAGACATCATCACGATCTGATATGTTACATGGACAAAGGAGATAAATTGCAGCTCGGATTACTTTAACCAGATGCAGACTATGGCTATCCCGAAGCATTACGACACAAATCAAATGTTATATATGGAAAAGCCGTGATGCACATTTTAAACTGTTACAGCTATATATCCTGTATTTAATGGCCAATTCTTCTTTCACTTCTAAGTATAACACTAATAAAGGGAAGGAATACCTGAAAAATAAAGTCATCTGAAAAGACTACTAGCAGGACTACTTAAAAAACCGCCAAAAATGACTATCAAAATGACTCAACAAGGCCGCATAAGTAGCCAACTATTCTTATGTAACTTATCAGCTGTATACCAAGCGAGAGATAATGTCGTTCAATGGGAAATGAGGGTTCCTCGCTCCAGCGGCAAAGACTAAAGTGATGGTACATAAGTACCCACATATAACAGGAAATTGAACCCACTTTTCCGGTAGCAGCACTGGGTAAGGGAACTCCTCGATGGAGGAGCTCATAATGTCAAGGTTCATGTTAACCTACATTGGAGCCAGTGAAGAAATAGAAACGATACTTGAAGTTTGTGATAAGAAGAGAGTGGTGATGGGTAAAGGGAAGTGAAGATGGATGTTGAGGGAGAAAGGCGCATACAACATTCATGAACAGGAATAACTGCATCCTAAAAGAGATCATATTAGATTTCATACTCTTTAATTCACTCTTGGCTTCTTACTTCTTCAACAAACATTCAATCAATCTGATATTTAACCCTATATCTCAATGTCAGCATCGCTTCTCGGATCTATGATCATAGTACTCCGTATATAATGATACCAGATCCCATATCAGATCCCATATCATGTCATTATCAAGCTATGACTCGGAGTTCCTTCAGAACGCGTATAGATGATCGACGGTTGGATTATACAACAATATGTTCACGGGTGTCCAAGTATACACCAGGTAGGCAAATATGCACAAATAGCCCAGCCCAGTCATAATGTCGTGCTACATGGGCTGGTTCTATGGTTTATTGTCGTCCGAATTCGATGGGAGGTCAGTGGTGCTGGAGACCCCAATTAAAATGAACGACATTTTATTCACGATATCACGGATACTCTGGGGGCGTTTAGCCTAACGGATGGTTGAAGGGCTATATGCTAGACAGGCCATGTTGGGCTGTCTCAACTCGGTCACGGACACTTTGCTCAATCGTGCTAAATAACTTTGTAAGCGGCATATTAAGTGAGAGTCAATAAACTTCCTGCAAAACAGACCGAGTAAACAATCAATATAGTTGTAGGTTTTAGTATAAATGATAGAAGAAAATCAACCTACTTCTTCAGTAGATGGTAGAGCTCCTCAACCAAGAAGCTTATTAATTTAAGTTTTATTATATCAAGTATTGGAGCAAGTTGTTGAATGGATATGATAATTTAGTTTGGTAATAAGCAAAGGGTACATACGTACGTAGCAGTGGAAGGTAGAAAGGGAGATATAGCGAGAGGCGAGAGGATATAAATAGTAGAAGAGAGGGACAAACCTGATATACTAAAGGGCAAACATATAAGCTATAAGATATCTCGCTTTTTAGAAACTTGGAAGGTGGTATTCTTAATCCTGTCGTATATCCAGACTATATATATATATAGTGAAATGCTCTATTTATTCCCGGCCCATGCTAACGTTGCCTTCATTAATATAGAATAGTATGAAGGCTAGGAATACCCAGACTGTGACGAACAGAATAGGGATGTCAATTGATAGGTATATTCCACTATGTACTATACATATGAAATAGAAAGTGAAAGAGAAATTTCCCCGTATTTTCGGTTAAAGTTCTCCCAGGATCAGTATGGGGCTCGAGTTAAGAGGCGTAGAGGACCCTGACCTCATTGGCTTAGCGCAGAAATAGGTTTAGATAACTATGAGTTCTCAGATATAGAACATATAGAAGAAGATATATAGAATAGATATAAAATATATAAGAGAATCTACGGGTTGTTTCTCCAGACAACATCTGCCCATATAGTTTTTTAGTGTAAGAGCCAAGGAAAAAAAAAAAAAAAAGTCTGTCGTCATTTGACCAATTTATTTCTCCCCACCACCTGACCTGGACATAGCTCCCTCTTTCTCCCCGTTTAAATTGCCGCATTCTACGCATTCGACGTTCTCAAATTCATCAATCCTTGCTCTCACATACTCTCTACATCATGTCAAGAAACATCTCATACGGCCGCGGAGGGGCAGGTAAGTGGTGTCCTTCCACAATCTCTCGCCATATGCGCCACCACTCCAGTCCACTAATCCACACTGTCCTAGGCAATATAACCCGGCAACAAAGCACACCCTCACCAAAAGACCTCGTCACACCAACAATCAAGCAAGAAGTCTATACAACCGGCCGCGGCGGCTCAGGAAACATGGTACACAATGACCCCGAGCGACCTGAGATTGCGCGCGAGAGCCAAGATGTAGAGTCACCGCCACTGCGCGCCCAACAGATGCCCCACCACACAGGCCGAGGTATGTTCTAGCCATAACATCTATGAGCGAATGCAGCCTTGAACATTTGCAAGAGTTAAAAAGCTACAGCTGAGCTAACGGATGGGCTGTTTCCACAGGCGGCGCCGCAAACGCTTACATCCCCACTCCTGAAGAGGAAGAGCGCGCGAAGAAGATCCAGGAGCAGGAAGCAGAGCTGATGCGTGTGCGCACGCAATCCAAGGAGCGTGTAAAGGAGATGTCCCAGGAGAGACAGGAATTGCGGAGGGGTTCACCTTCTTCTTCTTCGTCTTAAAACTATTGGTTATTAGGGGAAGGGTCGATTGATTTGTTCTCATTGAAGGCTGATGTTCGGTCTGGATTGGCGGATATTTTGCTTTTTTCTTGGCTGCAGTGCCGATCCGGGGAGAGAGGATTGTCCGAGCAGAACCTAATCAGAGAAATCACTGCGGGCAGTGCTGGATGGTTCTATTTTTCTTCCCATCAGTCATTAGGAGTTGTGGAGTTGTTTTCCTTTTCTTTGCACGAATTTCCCCCAAAATCGGCATTTCCCGGCATATTCGGGAGTCGCGTCGTCGCTTCATTATACCTATCGTGGAATATCGGGAAAAAGGAACGGCGCATTAGATTTGGGCCTGGTTATGTTTCTTCTTTTCCTTTATCGATATACACTTCGATGTGTACTACATGTGTTTCCTTTGTTTTCTATTGAGAAATGATATGACAGGTGCTTGTCTCAATTGAAGAAAATATGCTATGTCTATGCTAATTACACGCTTCATTGTCTCATTAGATGCATCGCTGATTAATCCCGCCACTTAGAAAAAAAAAGGGCATCAAACAAGAAATGCAAACTCATCAAAAGCCAATCGGGGGTAACACTCGCACTCGCACCTCAGTCCTCAGAAGGAAACAACCTGTCGCATCAATCGGCCAGCTAATAAACTCTCGCCACTCCGGGTCCAGAAGATCCCCGATCTCCGATAAAATCCTATTCCCCCAATCGCCCATCCACCACGAACCTCGAAGATGATGCAGAATCACCGAATAATGCGCTAGAATAACAAGCGCAAACGGTCGACGCGCCTGAAGCAGCTCCAAAAACTCCTCAGGGATACGCCAACTCCAGCAAAACGCAAATACCTTCGGCTCGCCGCCCTTCATCAGTTGCTCGAGCGCGTGGCTGAGATGCTCAATGGTCGAGTCATACACATCCGTCTCGTGCGTCGCATCCCGAATAGCCTCCAGCTCATTCTGTCGCTGTAGCGAGAGAACCACCAGCCGCGACATGTCCGGCATGGTTGGGGGCAGGTCTTCGGGGTGGAAGAGCGCGTTCAGCTCGCTCGATGTAATACGCTCCATCGAGGCTACCAGGATGCTGACTAGCCACCGGGTTAGCTGGAATACCTCGAAGAACTCGTCCAGCACATCGAGCTGTTCTTCGTTTGAGTCATTTTCGCTGTCGATCTGGCAGAAGCCGAAGGTGAATACGATCATTATACAACACAGCGCAAATGTCGCTTGACTTTCTGCTTCCGGTGCCTTTTCGTCACTCTCGATGTGGAGGCCTGTTAGCGCTTGTGCTTGGTGCGAGCGTGCCGTTTCAAGATATCGCCAGCGTCGGGACGATGTGCTTGTTGAGGCGAGGTGCAGCGCTGAGAGTGCTAAGATACCTTGACGAAGGGCTGGGTAACGGAGGGAGAGCTTGGGGATGGTTGTTTGCCATATTTGTTCGGAGGTGGGGTCCCCGGTCATGGATTTGTAGGTTGTTGTGCACCAGTGCATCATCAATTCGAGGTCTTTGAGGTCAAGGGTTTCTTCGATGTCGGTTGAGAGGGATGTTGGATGCTCGTCTTGGGATTTGGAATTTGACTGTGAGGAGGAGGACTCTGTCATGGTAGTTGGGGATGATATCGAAGTGCTAGTTGAGGAGATGAAAGACCCATGCTTGCTATCTAGCCGGGTTAATCGGGGACGAGGCGGATACTGGCTGAGCATGTTGCGATCTAGGCAATGCATACAGGTTGAGGTCTGCTCTTTATACTGTGAGAGTTGCGTTAGTGGGGACATGTGCGAGAGATTTTGATTCAAAGAGGGCGATAAGCAAATGGGACTGGACCCTCCAGCCTGGCTATCAATTGAAAGCTGTTAACTGGGTCGGGCACGAAGCCCTAAGCAGGGGTATCATACCCTAACACGCCGGTCACTTTGCATAATTGTCTGTCGTTTTTTGGACCAGGATGTTGATTCGCATTGCATTGGTAGTGTAAGGCTTAGGTAGTGAAATTTTGATTTATCCCCCTAGACTAGAATCCAGTATATCAGGAGAAAGAGAAGTTGATATAAAAAGAGTCATATCGGCCATTCCCAAGCGGAAGAGTAAGTGGGAATTATTTGGGAATATTTGGGAATATTTTGATATATCCATTTTCAGTTTCAACTAAAAGAGGTAAGAGTGGCGCTCTGTCCCAAATCGGTAAATGCAGGATGGCTCGTGCTTCAAATGACATAATCCTGGTCCGATTGGCCTATACTGAGTACATTACATTATAGTACTCCGTATGTACATATATAATAGTTGTAGTCTTTTTGAAAATTTATTCAATATGTACCTCCAGCTGAGCCCTTAAAACGATATTCTCGTGTTTTGGTATACTCAAAACGGCATACCAGATCTGTCATATACGGAGTATACGTATGAAGATACCCTTTGAAATAATACGAGATGTTCGGGACTCTATCCTAAGTATAAGCAGATCATATAAAACATTCCAATTCAATACAAAAAGCAAAAACAAAACAAAAAAGAAACCTTAGAAAGGAAATCAGTTTACGGCAACCCCCACCTAGCCCCACGAAAGAATACACACTAAACCTCATTCAGGTCTAGTAATATGGGGCCGGCCAAGTCTATCCGAAATAAGTTTTCAGTTGACGAGCGATGCTTTTTCCCGATCGGGGAAGACGTGAACTTCTTTCATAATATCTATGGCCCGTGATCTTCCCATGCCCTAAGCTTCTTTTTGATTAGTTATACGGTGTGGTCTTTCGTCTATAAGCCCCGTATCCCTTGAGAACACTGCCATTGGTTGTCGCATATCATTTCCTTAGGCATCAATGATTTACCCGTAAGCCCGGACATTTCCCCCCTATGAACCGTTATGGCATAGGGCTTCTCGAATTTAGAAATGGAAACATTGAGAAAACTATATCGGTCGTATATGCTTCTTTCTACTAATTTCAAGCCCTGTGTGTTTGGGCTAAGAGATCCCGAGATTTGATCAAAGAAACCCCTCCCCCGCTCCTAGTAACGTGATAACAAAGTGCTGTCGGGCTGACTCGCTATCCGCTCAGCCGCAAGGTATTTTCTTTGTTCTGCGGTTTTGTGGCTAACGCTATGGTAGCTGTGACTGGGGTAGTCTGCTTTAGCGTCAATGAATGGCGTGCTTGGTGATCATCCTGGACTCGGATATATAGACGAATGTACGGAGTAGTTCTCCGTAAGATCGAATTTTTACTGTTAAACCTCGGCGTACGGGGCTCGCTTTGGGAGAGCGAAATTCCCGGATTCAGGCTAATTGTACTCCGTACATGGATCTACTGGGCGGATTTATAAAGAGAACCGTTTTTGCGCCTCAATACCGATGAATCATCTAGAGATTACTCCGTACCAGATCCCTAATTATTTTAATGCTTGCATTGTGCAAGGCTGATACCTTCACTTCGCCAATAAGCACATTCTCACTACCCAGGGTGACCATACAAGGATGTTAAGCTGCGCCACCTCATCAGTATTCTCGATTTGACCGATACCACCGATGCAATACTACATTGAAGGGTCATCCGGCCGTCGACCCTTTTGAGGGAACTACATGAAGTCAGCACAGGGAGCTCGGGGCCTCGGGACCCCGGGAGATCAAATAGCAACCTTGAATATTCGAAATAGTGCACCCGCTTGGTGGGCGGAAAAAGATACCGCCTGCCAAGCCATGTTTACTGGGTTGGTAGCAAGGTGAAGCTTTTGGCCAAGCTCCAAGGGCATTATTAATACCGTTGATCTAGGCCTAGAATATGTAGGATGTGATGTGATGAGTTTTTGTGCTTAGCGGCAATCATAGCTGCATCAGAAATATCCCGCAGCAATAATGGTCCAGTTGGTTAGCCGGATGGAGTTGGGGACTCCGAGCGATAGTCTGGCATGTCCATCCCAAACGTTAATTACCTGATTAGTTAAGCTGTGATGTGTAGCACTGCAGTAGAACTGGACCTCGGAGCGACGTCAATGCCGAGCTCCGCGGGTAATCCAATCCCTATGTTGTAGTAAGATGCACATTTGGGGGATTTCTGGTGTCTTCGAGTCCGATGATTACCATCTGATTTCCTGCCAAGATGAGGGGGGATGCGGTGATGACCTGCTTGCCTTTGCATTGATAGCGGAGCACGGGCCTTAGTCCCCGATTCGGGTGTTTTAAGAGATGTTGGTGCTGATGATACAGCAGCGCCACTTGATGGGCATTGCAGGACAAAATGGCATGTTTCATGGCGTTGGTGCATCTCACCCAAGTTTGTATTAAGTGCCATTGGTCTGGACACTGAGTTTGGGCTGCAGACTGGGAGATTGGAGTTTGGTGGCGGTGTGGCCAGCAAAAACATTTTAGGCATCCTTGAATTCCTTACAACACACCACTGGCTTTTCGACGACGCGTATATCTGTGCCATCCTGAGTTGTATATGGGCCGGGCTTCCGCCACTGAGAGTGTCAGCTAATTCGGGCGAAATTTTTGATATACTGCACACCATCATGACTGATATTGTTGTTGGTACCACCTTGAACCTTGACTCTCGAGGACAGTGCAAAGTCATCTAGGGTAGACAGGCGTAAGAGTACCCTTAGCGGCGATATGCTAGTTAAGCCTCCCTGAACATATTATCTTACCACCATTGACCGAATCATCCGAAGCGCACAATGATATGAAGTCTTAACTTGTGGTTAATATCTCATTGCAGAGAGCAATGCCAATGTGAGGAACCTGCTAAAAACACAGCCCTCAGCCAATATCGCTGAAGTCATAGTTTCATGGTGTTTGTTGGAGTGGGAATTATAGAAAACACAGAACACAGTGTAGCCCAGCCAGATTATGCCGTAGTAGTTACCGGTATACGGTTGGATGTGTAACACAATTCGATTGACATCTTCCGCAACGGCACGGTCGACCGAAAGAGGTACATCGGAAGGAACTCATATGACTCGACTCTAGCATCATAGCATCCATATCAGGATTATGGCCTCTAGGCGTCATTTGCTGGCCAGGAGAATTGACAGCACTTCAGAATAGTGCTTCGATCGGAGAGCCAGGGCGTTCAAGGGATATCGATGTGGGTTTGATAACCCCCTCCTTCATGTAAACCACAACACGGGAGACTTGAAATAGAGCGACGAATGAGTTTGAATTTGTTGACAGAAGACCTCAGGATGGGCACCTTATGAATGAATTTGCAACTTGGAAGAGATGGGGAATGGTCAATATGGATCTAATGACTCAAGATTGAATCCTCACTATTTGCATTGCCATAGTCTAGTAATTGTGAGATCATGTTTGCCTACTTTCTCAGCGTGAATAGCTCGGTAGTAGCTAGTCTGAGCTGCGCGGAAGTTACTCAACTTTTCGTGCACATAACCGCCTGTAAAGGTTACTGCGACTTATTGGCGGTTGTTCCGAGGCCTAGCGCCAATTAAACTCTAGGCAAAGACCACTTAGCGTGCGAGCTGGTCAGGTGGCCATTAGCGATGAAGCTCTAATGCACGAAGACTGACGGGCAGGCTGGAGAGGCCCCCCAGCTGGGAGCGGGTGGCGTAGAAGGCGCTGCCCCGCACGCGAGAGGTCGCTAATATGACGGGCTTGGGGAACTCATGGCAAGGACTGTTCTCCCTAGATACCCCGGATTTTGGAATTACAAATATCACATCCATCCTTTACATGAATACAACCCCTTGAATGGAGATAAGGTCATCTTTACCCTGTCTTTTCTATTTTGATCTTCCAAGGGGTAGTTTAGGAATGCTCCCTAGTTTAGAATCGATATTTCACCCCTACATTGTCGGTAAGGGCATATTCACTTCAATTTATGTATAACAATGATGCATACTGATAAATCAGTCCTGGAGGGGTTGCCACACGATCGGGATCTGTCATCCTCGTGGGAGCCCTGTGCAGTAAGGGGTTATGTACATATAGACCTAGTACTCGATCTAGAGAGAGATACGTACTTTCGGAATGTATAATTTCACGATATTGCATGTACAATTGAACTTTCAGGTTAAGATTGAATATATTTACTAGTACGGAGTACTAGTAGTAGTAATAGTAGTAGTAATAGTAGTTAATAGTTAGTAGTTACAGTAGTACTAGTAGTATAAAAAGCCTAGAACAACGGCCCCGAGAATTGCCCGACCGTTCAACCCGTTTCATAAAAAAAATATAGTGTTCCCGAGGTCAAATATGTCCAACTGAAAATTTCAAAGGTGGACGCCGTTTGCGGTTATATGAACATCCCCGAATGCGGACTTGAACAGTCTAGGATGTTTCATTCGTCAGTTCATTAGTAGAAACCCGACGGTCTGGGTCCAGGTTCCTGCAGAGAGTAACATTGTCACATCTCTTTCTTTCAGCTTTCCCTTTTTTTCTTCTTCCTAGAACGTCTTTTACTTCTTTACCTCTCTGAAATTATACCTTTTTTTTTTCCTTTTGTGTGGAGTATGTTTTAATCCCCTTGGTGGCAGTGAATCTCCCGTACTTTGACAGCGTCATGCGGTTGAAGCAAATCTCAAAGAGCTTAAAACAGATCTTAAGATAATGCTAACACAAATATTTGCAAAAGACATAGATTCCGGTCGGAAAACACTTCAATTTCTAATATCGCCACTCCCCGAGCTCATTCTATGGTTCGCGAATAAAACTCTCCGCCGAGTAACCCCCTTCGCTTCACTTTTCTGCCCATCGCAATCGAATCGGATTCTTCAAGACGCTTTGGCCGGCTCGGATCAGTCTCGATACATTCAAGGGAACTGCTGCTTTTTTGCGTGCACCCACTTTCTCTGTTCTAGTCCGGAGTCGATGCTCCAAGTGTGACGTCTGAACATCCCGCGGGGTCGCATGTCGCATCTCAACCCCCTCACCTCTCTTCGAACAACCAGGTAGTTAAGATCGATCAAAGAGATCGATAAAAAAAACAAGGACCCGTTTATCTATCACGAGAGTCATCCTCGGTTCCTTACAATCTGGTACCATGTACGCCGTCGAGGATAGACATCATCCCGTTCCACCTCCGCTCTCAATGGATCGCATCTCTGCTCCGTCCGTCCAGTACCCGTCGGGGCCCAACTCGCTACGGCAGTCCGACCATTTGGCACCCGTGACAAACTACCAAGATGGGCGTTCCTGGTCATTACAGGTGGTGCAGCAGCCCATTCGGGCTCGTATGTGTGGATTTGGTGATAAGGTGGGTGATTTTTCCGCAATTCTTCTTTTCCACCTCCCTGACACGCGCCCCAGGACCGGAGACCCATCACTCCCCCACCATGCATTCGTCTGATCGTGCGCGATGCGCAAACCGATAAGGAAATCGATATCAAGTATGTCCAACCTGCGGGCTTTCTATAACCCTTGGCTTTTCTAACCATTCCTCTCTCCCTCTTTAGTGAAATCGATACATCATTCTATGTGCTCACGGTCGACCTATGGAATGCTGACGGTACCAACGAAGTCAACCTCGTCAAGCATTCCGCCACCTCCCCCTCCATCTCTACCGCCATGTCCTCCTCATACCCTCCCCCGCCTCAGAGCGTCTCTCCGACCTACCCGGGCTACAATCAAAACCAGTACCCGGTGAACTACCCACCACAGATGAACAACTACTATGGCGGTCAGCAGGTGGCGTACCAAAATCAATACGGCCAGCCAGTGACGTACCCACAATACTACTCCGGTGGTCAAATCCCACCGTCTATGTCGCCCGCTGCGCAACCCGTCTCGGGTGGACCGGGTGGCATGTTCACTCGCAATCTGATCGGAAGTCTCAGTGCCAGTGCTTTCCGGTTGACCGACCCCGACAACAAAATTGGTGTGTGGTTCATTTTGCAGGATTTGAGCGTACGGACAGAAGGCACTTTCCGGTAAGTCAATTGGGTAATACGAATCGCTCGAAATAATCGCTAATAGATATCTAGTCTGAAGATGAGCTTCGTTGACGTAGGCACGTCGTCTAGCGAAGCCTCTAACGGTGCCCCGGTTATCAATCATGGAACCGCACCTGTTCTAGCGTCGGTTTTCTCCGAACCCTTCCAGGTCTTCTCCGCCAAGAAGTTCCCCGGTGTTATTGAGAGCACTCAGCTCAGCAAATGCTTTGCGCTACAGGGTATCAAGATCCCCATTCGCAAGGATGGGGTAAAGGGCCCCCCGCCGAGGTGGAGATGGAGACGACGATGACGAAGGCGACTATTAAAAGAGTAATTCTTTGATCCATAGTGCACTACCTGATATGCGGGCTGGCGTACTTAGCTCAGTGTATTGTCTCATATTTCCTTATCTTTGCTTCTTTTTTTTTGTCCTTGCTATGAATCAAGACATGGGGGGAAATGTCGGCGCGTGGCTTACGGTGTTCTGGGCAAGACTCAGGCTTGCAGGTTTCAATATTGCTACACGGACCGGTGCTGGGGGGTTTGCTGTCTGGTTTTTGTTTCATGGCTTTCTTTCGAGTATCTTTTTTTTCCCCATCCTTTTGTTGGCCTCTGGCTGTGTTTATTCATATCCTCCGCGGCAGATTGCCCGCGCGTACATACACTTTTCTTTTCGGCGAATCGAGGTCCGGTTTGAATTGCTGAGTGCTGAGACTGTTTGCCCGACCATAGAAAAAAGTCTTTTGATATCCAAATCTACTGAAGTTCAGTTATCTGTTCTGATATTGTATTCTAAGTACTATACTTCGTACTCGAGCCTGTGAGATCTACATGTAGTGAGTGGATCTTGTAGTCGTAGCTTTATATGAGAGCACGACGTATGGTCATGGACAATATACAATATAGCTGTTCAAAATACCATAGCCATCGAATACGCATTGGATCGGAGGCTTATGATGCTCCATATCTTCAAAATACACACTATTTCCACTTCTCATACTCTGATATCAACAATATCTACTAGCCAGCCAGTATAACCTTGTGTCTCACATGCCAGACCATTCATTCACCCAAATAGCCATCAAAAACAGCACCCAATCTTCAGCCCAAGATTCATCAGCCTAACCTACCCACCTTCTAGTAAATTCTAGAAAACAACCAGCAAGCCACATCCCTACAGACTACATGATCCATAAGGATAGTATCATCTCACACCCAGCGTAGTACAATAAGTCCATATCCACATGAACAAAAAACAGCCCATCACCATTGCCACACAGCCCAGCTCATAGAAGACGTCACACCGTCCCTGACAGAAAACCGACAACACAGGACCTGACAGAAAACAGAGAAGACCGGGTTGTCCAACACAACAATCAACCTCAACAAACACCCCGCGTCGGACAATGTGCGACACACCCGTGAAACGAACTGACCTCACTTCTCTCCTGACAGATTGCAATCACCGAACACCGTCAGGAAATATCACATTGGATATTCGATAATCACCCAACCGGCTCTGCCTACCTTCACCCCATCCTGAGACAGGGCAATGTCGTCTTCCAGCTGAAAATACTATGCCACTGCGGTTGCGGTAGGGTAGTATTCCCCTGCCACCGTTGAGCTGACATTTGCGAGGTACAAACAGAGGGGATCGCGAGTATGCGCGCTGCAGTGTCCCTGCAGAATAGATTAGTATTACATCACAGATGGCAAGCCCGGCATGGCCAGATTAGCCGGTATAGGCTGTAGTGGGATGCAGGGTCCGGTGAGACATAGGATATTGCTGCATGTTTGCCGGTGCAGATGGGGCGTCAGTGGCGTTGGACAGTGTGCGATTATCTTGGAAACGAGGTATGTTCCCAGGGGTTTTCTTTTGGTAATAGATGCCTTCATGGCTCGGGCCGTTGGTGGACCGTTGTCATTTTCTGGGGAATAGGAGGCGAGGTGTTTGTGACGATGATGAGGGCGTGGGGGTCGTGAGTAGAGGTGTGTTCGACCTATATTACGGAAAGTTTTGAGTAATAAATAACGTATAACGTAGAAGTGAGTTAGCGGGTTAAGCCGACTGTTAGCGAGAAACAATATTGTATTCGAGTAATGATGTGGTGATGTTAATTATAAACTGAGACAAGGAGAGAAGATCTACAAATTTCTAAGTATAGAATCCTAACAATCTAATAGGCATTCTGACCTAACAATCTAAGTCTTCCTTAGGAAACCCTACATATGTATATTAAGACTATTAACAACTTGTGAAAATAATACCCTAGCCCAATCGAAACCTCTTATTAAAAACTACTGCAAAAACCACTGTAGAAAGCACTGCATAAACTACTGCAAAATGCACTACCAAAACCACCCCATTTCCTACTTTTTTTTATATAGGATTTATATCGTAAATAGTATAAATAAGAAGCAAATCATAAAATACTAGTAATCACTAGTAAAAGGGGAGAGATTGAGGTAAGAAATTCCTGTAATTGAAAAAGAAGTGATTTACACGCTGAAAACGAGAAGCAAAAGCAAAAACGTGTTCCCGGAGGCAGATACAACCCAAACTAGGCCTCTCAGTGGAGGAAGCTCTCCGGTCAATTACTGAGCCAGTGGAAGTTGAAGCACCCAGCGGCATGGAGAGTCTTCTCCACGTTTGCAGCGCCGAACCAGAGCCCCCCCAACATGCAGTATATGCAAGGTGCAGGGTCATAAGAGAAATACATACGGAGTACTCCGTACTCCGTAGATAAATGCATTTAAATTCAATGGATTGGGGAAAAGGCTATGAACTACAAATTAGTAAGAATCATGAGTATTGGTATTAGCAAAGAAAAAGCAAGTTCGTACATAAGCATTAGCGTCCCTTCTCGGGCATGACAGTTTGATCCAAAGGATCGCATGGCATAATTCCATGAGTTACCACAGAAACGTCCGACTTCAGGTTGGCTTCGAACAATAAAATATCGCATCAAGCTCAGGGGCCCCGACCCAACCTCTTAACCGCTAGCTATTTCCTCCCATTGAAATATATATTCGTCCGCGAAGGCGGCATATCCCAACTACGGTGGTACAGTCACGATCGAGCCGTTACATCCTACCCCAATGCAGTGGAACTCCCAACCAGAATAATCTTAGCAATTGAAAGGTATTCTGGCCGGCTTACAGCCAGTAGATCCAAGGCGGATTATATCATATCATATTACGGAACAATGTGCAAGGTGATACAAACCCCCTTGCAGGTCGAGAAAGGTCACAGGATTGGCCTAGGAACGCAGTGGATTGGATGGGTCACATAGTGGCATATGCCCGGTCATGATCGAGGCCACCAGCTCGGTGGTCAGCAGTGCTGGGGCTGTAAACTGCATAGCACCAAGTACGGAGTAGAGATGGTCTACTCGAAGGGCACCTATCTCAAACACATAAATAGGGACGAGATCCCACCGCCTCTGGTTCATCTCCACCAACCACTCTGATTCATTTTCAATTTACCTGTACCAGAACAATCTCTGAAAATGCGTCTCAGCATCATTCTGCTCACTTCACTGGCATCCATCGCTACTGCGGTCCCTGCAACGGATGCCGCGAACAACAACTGTGGCTGGCCCAATGGTAACTGCTATGGCAATGACTGTCATGGAGAATTGAGTGGTGACAAAATCACTTGCACCTCTGTATGCCCTGCTCTCATACTATGGCGGTTATGATTCTTACTGACAGTATCCACAGGGCAAATACCTCGGCTGCCAGTGTGGCTATGGCTGTGGTCGTAAGACGGGCAAGTGCAATGAGAATGGCTGTGATGGGCGCAATGGGCGGTGCACGAATAACTACCTTGGTTGCTCGTGCAACTAATCAACAAAAAATTATACTGCAGACAGGGACCTGCTTTCGGATCATTGTGAGAGCCGAAAGTGCTATTTGATGACAGATATCTTTTGAAAATGTCACTGTATGTCTGTTGATACCAAGTTGAGAACTATGCCTGTATGGTGAGACCTACGCTTGTATGGTTTTCCAATAGTATTCTTGCTGCAGCTACAATAATCATACATAACTATTCCTGGAGGTTCTTCTTTGTAATCTTAATCACTAATTTTGTACTGTTTGAAGAGCAATTTACTATAATTGTATATTTGTATGGTACCTAAATTTTCCAATCTACGTTTGAAATATTAGTGAAGTTCATTTTAAAAGCGACTGTAAGTGTCTCCTTGTACTAGGAATAAAGAGCCTTTCAAGTTAACAATGGCTAATTTTATAAGGCTTCCTTCAAAACGCTAGTTCTCTGGGAGGCCTTCGAATTAGAATTCAAGAAAGACTTTGCCTGTAAAAAATTATATACAGAGGAAGCGCCTAGAAATATTTATACACTCAATTGTAGTCACCTACTTACGATTTCTAGATTATCAAAGTGGTTACCCACTACAGAATTCCCTTCATATAACAACCTTTGCTATAGCACTTAATCCTGTCGCGAAACCTATCTTATTAAAGTTATAAATATCGTTAGGATCGATTCCAAATTAAAGGATTGTTTTTTAAACCAGATTGAACTGTGACAATAAAACCGTTTCGTCCCATCCAATCCTTTCTTCTTTTCTTTTCCTCCCCCGTACTTAGTATTTTAGTTAAATTGCACTCTTTGCTTGTTCGACTTTGACTATGATAAGTCCTACACAAAATTTCCTGCTCGAATTTTCTTTTTTTTTTCTTACTCTCTGTACTTAGCATTTCGTTTAAATGTACTCTTTGGCTTTGGCTGGTAAGATAATCTACTAACTTATGTATGTATCAGCCACTCGGATTCGCTTCGAGGTTCCCCTCGTTCTTGGCATACGAACGATTCTCCATGTCTCACATCTCTTTCGCCTGAGCGACGAAAAATAGCATCCTCGGCAGTAACCCAACCTCCCACCGTTGCATAAACCATGCAGAATATGGAATATGGAGTATATAGTACCTTGAGACTGTCTCAAACTCACACAAGCAACCCACCCATCATCCAATGAATGAGACATTCGCCACCTTAGCCTCCCTGGCGGTCAAACCCGACAGTCAATGACGGAGGGTCCCATTCTTTGATCTATGTTTTTGATGTTTTCCTTAGTTCAATTTCCCAGACCATGTGCCTCTTCTATTTATATTGCTCTCCCGATCGGTCTATATAAAGTGGCCCAGTAACCCGCCCACTGTTGTTGCTATTCAAATCAAGCATCTATTCAACTCCACACAACACCCAAACATCAACATCCACCCACATCCACGATGAAGTTCACACTCGCTTCCCTAGCCCTCCCCCTGCTAGCAGCCTCCGCACCAACCCCCGAGCCAGCTACCAACCCAGCCTTCACTGTGATGGCCATGCGCTCCGCCTCGCCCATCCACTTCTTGCAGATGAACGCTGTCGGTCAGAAGTTCTGGCTCGGCGGGAAAACAACCTCCTACTGCCCGGAACAGGTGGAGCCAAACTGCCCACCTGGAGACCAAACCGTCTTCGCTCCTGGCGGCTCCTCTCTGGTAAGTCACAAGAGACACTATATACCCCTCATAGCCTACAAAGGACGATCCCCGCTAACAATAAACAGGACACCATGGTTCCTGGCGGCCAGCAGGTCTACATTGACCCCAATGGAGCCCTCAGCTTCACCCAGGCTCACTCGGCCAATATCCCCCAGGGCTCCTCGCGAGGCCCGTTCCAGTACGCTGTTGGTGACCCTTGGAGTCACTACACCTTCAATGGCTGGGGCGCCTCTGGTTTCATGGCTTGCCCGGCTGATGATAACCGCTGGCAGGTGTTTGCGGCTATTCAGAATGCTACTGTGCCCCATGGCAATGTTGATGAGTGTCTTGGATTCTCTGCTACCGCCATAACTTATGAGGGGGATGTTCCTGCCTGGCAGTATATCTAGACTAACACTGTGGCCGATATTCTGATGGGTCATTGGCATATGTCTTTTCCTAGCTTGTTTTGATTTTTTGGTATATTGTGTTACTTTGATTTGCAATGTATCATAATTACCCTCCTAGTTTATCTAGACACAGGTTTTTTGGATCTAATAAAACTGACAATCTATCTTATATATTGCAAGTTCCAGGGTTGGATGGTAAACATCTGGATGTACCTTGATACCCGCAGGAACGGGCCGAGAAACTTCAGGAACGCCCATATGGTTTCGGCGTCTGCAGTCAGACTCGAACTTAAGTTCAAGTCAAGATGTCGTCGGTGGCTACAGGGGTTGTGGAAGAAGGGTAACACTTGTCTCACTTTAAGCTACCCAGGATAGTACATTAAAGATATCACAATGGTGAACCAACGAATACGACTTGTGTACTACCGATATGAGGTCACTTTCGGCCTCTATGAATACAATCAATTCCCGGAGGATGTCTGGCCGACTCTGGAAGCACTCCATCGGCTACCAGGAACCACAGGGGTCCCAGGTCCAGCCAAGATGTTCCCAGATTTAACAGCACCGTCGACAGGAACGAGGCTTCGATTCATGGGGGCTCAAGGAGAATATCAGAATTCTCTAGAATCTGCAAGGGCTTGATGAATTCTGGCGTTGGCAAAAAGTCGGTAATTAAGATATTTACTCGTCTATCTGTTACAGCGCGGGCTGGACCACTGTACCAGACAGCTGCGCCTCGATATCCAGAAATGCTTGCTCTTCATTAAGATTAGGTTGCTGAGTCTTCTCGTATTGGGCACGGATCTTGTCTAGACTGCGCCGGGCCTCTTCCAACTCGGGATGATCCCCAAGTTGTGCCCTCTGTTCATCAGTCAAATAGCGTGGGCGTCGCGTGTCATGTACTAGGGCCCCATTTAGGTGTAGTGGGTGTAGGTAGATTGGCCACAGCATCAATTCATGTAAGATTCGCTTTATTTAGTTGAATTAATACGTTTTGGTCGAGATAATCAATTTTGAAATTTTACAGTGATCGGGACGGGCAGGAATTACCTTAACTAGTTAAGGATAGGCTGAGGCTACTCAGCCTAAGAATACTGCTATCTGTCCATATTGCAACCAGTCATCTTTCATTCCCTCCCCTGAAGGGTACCTCCGCATGCTATAACTAGACTAGATTCCTCTCTTATGACTGAAGTGACAGAGCAGGTTCAAACCGCACTCGACAATACTAGCCACAGTCCGCTCCGAGTCCCAGGGTTTGCAAGCATCCCGATCCACTGTGGACTCCCTTCCAACGAACGTTTTGCGCACGGAGTGGTGGAGTGGCGACAAGCCCCTGCAATCACGGCCCGCGAGCTAACCATGGTCGCCGTGATGAACCATCTCACCGATCGGCCTGCGTGGTATACGAAGATCTTCGGCGATGAAGTTGTCGCGGAATGGAAACAAGAGACCTTTGACACAACCCCACTGATGAGCGAAAAGGCATGGGAATGGTGCTTAAAGGAGTTGCACGATAAAGCGGTTGATCTCCGCGAGAATCTCCAGATCCATATCCGCGTTCTTGACACCGGATCCTGCGTGTGCAAAGCGGATGCCGAAACTCTAGACTCTCCCAGTGCGGCGTTCAGAGGGTCCGTTCCGACTTTATTGGAGGAGCAGCATGAACAAAGGGTTTTAGATTGGCAGCCCGAAACCGTGTTGAATGTGGTCGATCCGTTGTTATTTCCCTTGGTTTATGGACGAAGCTTGGTCTTGACGGACGGAGGACAAGTGGACCTTGACAACGTGCTGGACTCCTATCAAGATGCAACGCTCGCGCCTAAGCCTTACGATCGACGGGTCAATTCCCAGTCTTTACAGGAGGAAATAGACAGTCTGGGCACTCCATGCTGGGGTATTGGCCCTCCCAATGGTGACGAGTCCGAGTTCTACCATTGGAGTTCCAACTACCAATGTCTTCCATGCGAGGTGGAATTTCTATACGACCTCGGGACGGAGGTGCAGATCACCTCTTACATCAACAACTTGCACCCAGCTCATAAGGGTATTTACCAGGCTATTGAGAAACTCATCTCTATAACAATCAAGCCGTGGAATGATTGTCTGGTGAAGGGACAGAGTGGCTGGGATGATCAATTCAATCAGGGGCAGTTGGGGCCAGTTCCCCCTACGAATCATCACCTACGGGGTCGAATGGGAGAATGAGCTTCCTGAATGGGCGCTCGCGTTCAGAGTACCTACCGAACCCAGGATAAAAATGTACCGCAAAGCGCAAGAAGCGCTACAGAGCAGCAAGGATGACCAAACGAGTAAGGGTAGAAAAAGGTACCTCGACGCGCAACGGCGGCTCAGTGGGGTACGAGATGTGACGACAACCTAGACAAGAAGCTACCTCCGCCGGACTCGGAGCTTTGGCAAAGAGCTAAGGAGTATCTAGAACTCCCAGAGGACGGCTCAAACACCCCCGTCGCAGCCCCAGACGACTGGATGAAGGGTGATTTCAAGCCGTGGTGAAACATGAACAGAAATTAGACCGTCTGCTGCGCATCAAACATCTAGAACCGGGAACCGCTTTTTCGTACGAGGAGTGGAAGACCAACCGACATAAAAATGAAGCCATCATCGACATCGTCCGTCACCGGAATGACTGGGAGTCGCCCTTTGAGCCTCTCACCCCTCCACACACTTCCTACACGATCTCTCTCCAAGACACCTTCCGCAAGCAAGGCCTGCAAATCATCGTGAAGATGGAGAACATCGAACTCACCCCCCAAGACCACACATATACCAATAACTCTTGGCAGCTCGACGGCCAGCTTAACGAACACATCGCCGCCGTCGCAGTCTTCGCTTACGACGTCTCAAACATCACCTCCCCCCAGATTTCATTCCGACAGCACACTACCCTCTATGGATGCTTCTATCAGTATGCCGAGGAACGATATAGTACAAGGGGCTACGATGCCCGCAATGTACGAGCCCACCGATGTGGCAAATGGTACGCCGCAGAAGTCGCGCCAATAGTGGATATTTTAGGACTTGACGATCCAGCTAACCTCTCGAACAATTTTCACGGGGAAAATTATACCAGAGTAGCGCGTCCGTCGCAAGTACGCAGGGTCGTTTAATCACGTTTCCGAGTGTGTTGGAGTATCGGGTCGAGCCGTTTCAGCTGTTGGATGCGACTCTGCCTGGGCATTATCGCACAATTAAGATGTATCTGATTGACCCACACTACCGCGTATGTCCGACTCGGAATGTGCCGCCGCAGCAGCATCACTGGTGGACACAGGAAGCGGGTAAGACCCTTGCTACAGCTGGACTGCCTCGTGAACTGGTGGATGAGATCTTCCGGGGAACCGATGACTGGCTAATGGGAATGGAGGAGGCGGCACAACACCGTCAGGAACTGATCAGAGAGCATACCTGGAACGAGGTGTCAAGGGTGGCGCGTATGCCTGGCCCAGCATTTTGATACCAAACGGCAACATGTTCATTGAGCGGATGTGACCTGGAACTTGCCCGCTACTCTAGAGAATATTTCAGTACAAATGGAGCTTTACTGTGAATTTTGTCAATAGTCAATACGCAAAAATGCAAAAATGATATTCATGAAAATGCAACTAAGTAACATAAAGGGCGTCCTCTTGTAGCCTATGCCCCAGGCACTGGGCAGGACAGGGTTCATCAATCCACACACTTAAACCACCATCTAACTTCCATGCATCTATATTGCAAGATCTGGTCCGAAACGGAAACACCTCTCGGAGTTTCTATAATTCGCGTGTTTATCCAGTTCATTGACCATGGCATGCAGTAAGGCAGCCTTAACGGCCTCTGTCACTGATTAGATAAGCCTATAGGCTTCCAAGGTTATGATGTGAATCAAATCCACGGAGTGTTGACTTTGGGGGTTGAGGCACCCGTGATTCCCTCAACTCGAGGGTACGCTCAAGTTGCTACGGCCAACATCCGCGCGTTGGACACTGTGCTCGTCTTGAATGCATGCAACATCAGACGGCAAAGTCATATACCAGACTAGCTGTCTGTCAAGAGCAGATTTTGGGCAAGTTGATGTGAAGTGCGACTAGATCTAGTTCCGCCAGATCTTGATCGCCTTGTCTTTACCTCCGCTGGCGATCTTTTGTCCATCGGGACTCCAGTCGACGGCAAACACCTCGTCCTTGTGTCCTGGAAGATCCATCTTGAGCTTGCCGGTGCGCAAGTCCCAGATCTTGAGAGTAGTATCCTTAGACGAGGACACCAGCATGCGCGAATCTGCCGAGAAGCAGCACTGGTAGACTGCGCCCACGTGGCCGCGGAAGGTGGTGATGAACCTGGGGCATTGTTAGCTATAAATCACAATAATCAAAGATTGGAAATACTCACTTTCCATCACGGCCATTCCATAGCTTGACGTGGTTGTCGAATCCAGCTGAGGCGATATAGGCCATGTCCGGCGAGAATGTGACATGATTCACCTCCTTTTGGTGGCCCAGCATCCGTGCGACGGGCTTGCTTGAAGTAGACGGCTCCCACAGATACATTGTGAAATCGTCACTGGCCGATACCAACCGCTCAACGATAGTGTTGTTTACCGTCGCCGCTTCCTCGAACTTCTTGCGTGCAGCAGCCACCTTCTCAGCCTCGGTCGCAGGGACCTTGCCAGTGTGGTCGTGGTAGGAGGTACGAAGAGCGAAGTCTGTCGACAGAGCAAGGTGATTGACACGGTGGGCATGTGCGGCCAGAGTCTGGAGCAGGGTACCGTCTTTAGGGTTCCAGATCTTAATGGTCTTGTCGTGGGAAGCAGTATATATCTTGCCAGTACCACCCCATCGCACACAAGTAACCGATGACTTGTGGCCGGTGAGCACATGGTCAGTTACCCTCGAGACAACATCCCACACGCGCACTGTCGAGTCCTTGGAGGCGGATGCCAGGCGCGGCCGCCCGGACTCCTGCACGTGGTATGGCTCCCAGGCCAGATTCGTGATCCACTTTGCGTGACCCTTGAGCCCCGCACCTAGCGCTGTGCCCTGCTTTGCATCCCAGAACCTCACGGTGTTGTCCATGCTGCCGGTCGCGATCATGGCGCCGTTCGGTGAGTATGCGACTGCCAGCACCCAGCTGGTGTGGCCCTTGAGTGTATGTTTCGGGGTTCCAGTGTCACAGTCCCAAACACGAGCAGTTGCATCACCACTTCCGGAAACCATGGTGGAGGATGAGACTGGGGAGAAGGATGTTGCTAGAATTGCTTCGCCGTGACCTGCGATGGAGGCTGCGCATCGTGAAACGGCTTTCACCCGGAAAACCGCCTGCGGTGTGTAGAAGAGCGATATCGTATCTTCAGTGGTCTTAATCCCGGGCTGGAGTAGCGAGTGGTACACATCGCGGAGAATATCGATCGTTTGTTCCTCTTTTTCGGAATGGTAGGCGAATCGGTATGGTACTCGCCCATCATCCTCCTGGAAAGAAATCGCCGTCAGTACAACATTCTATTGTGAAGTAACCACAAGATTCAAATCTTACATTTCCTTGTAATGTGTTGAGCAGAGTCTCGAGGTTCTTCACATTGGCATCGGCGACTGGGACGGAAACTGCAGGCCCGGTGGGCTGCCCGGTTGCTTGATCGAAGAATTGAACTCGAACACTGCCTAAATCGGCTGGAATACTCTCGATTTCCTGCTGCTCACGGGCCTTATCGGCCTGGACGAGCTTTTGGCGCTTGCTGGGGGGAGGATAGAGGGTCGACATTGTTATTGATTTTGAGGTTGATGGGGGAAGAAGAGAAATTTTGATGGGCAAAAATATCTCGACGCTTATCTTATCGGCCCTATCGATTTATCCATCTACACCATCTCAGTCATGAGAGCTGGGCTTCACAATGTCAGTTTATTCATTGAATTCATGGGATTCTCTGGATTCTTCTTCCCCATTGGCCTCTAGAGGTACGAGTAGACGTCTAACGGCAGGACCGACCACAACGGCCACCAGTGTTGCAGCTCAGGACATCGTCTGCGCCGTCAGTGAATCGCGGGGTGTCTCATCCACCGTTGGCCTCGCATTTATCAACCTTGCGACAGCTGAAGCAGTGCTCTGTCAGATATGTGACAGTCAAACTTACGTCAAGACAATCATCAAGATTGGTGTTTTTGAACCCAGCGAGATTCTGTTCATGAACACTGCCAAAGAATCGAAGCTGCGCTATATCATCCAAGAGAATCTGCCAGATCCTATCTTCACCTTCCTGGACCGCAGATGGTGGTCTGAAAAGACAGGTCACGATTATGTAGAACGACTGGCTTTCCCAGAGGAATTCGACTCACTCAAGGTGACTCTGGGCGGGAACTATTTCGCAGCGTGTTGCTTTGCCGCAGTATGAACACCATGCATGTTGCTAAAAGGAACTACTCACATAGGGATTAGGTCCTCAAGTATGTTGAGGTCGAAATACAGCGATCTTTTACCACGCATTCTCTTCGGATACGCTTCGAACCGTCCCAGGGATCCATGACAATTGACTTGGCGACTATCGTGTCTCTCGAACTCATTCAAAATCTGCAAAATGCGAAGTCTAAAGAAAGTTTGTTTGGACTATTGAACCAGACATTGACACCTATGGGAGCCAGACTACTCCGAGCTAGCATCTTACAGCCTTCAACAGAACGAGTCAAGTTGACAGCTAGATACAATGCTGTGGAAGATCTAACCACCAAGGAGGATATGTTTGTTTCTGTGAGGCAGGCGCTCAAGGGCTTCATTGATGCAGATAAAGTGTTGACCGCGGTAGAGTCTCTAAGGCTAACTATTATTGAAGACTCGTACTAATGGAATATCAAGATCATCTTGGTTCCCACCAAGCGGACAATCCAATACGTTGAACAATCCGTCAACAATGTCATCATGCTCAAGACTTATGTGTCTGCGATCAAAAAGATTTTCCAAGCACTTGGAGCAGCACAAAGTGATTTGCTGCTTACCATACGCGAAGTAGATTCTATATTCATTTCGTGTTGTACTCAAACTAACGCACTTTAGTTGTGCGCTCCTGAGGGGCATCGTTCAATTGAGGAGCTTATTGATACGAATTTGAATGAGCATGTAGCCTACCAGTCAAAGCCACTTGATCTGAGGAACCAGCGCATTTACTGTGTCAAGGTCAGAACTCGTATACTTCTACACTGACCACAGATCGCTAATACGAATTAGGCTGGCGTCAACAGTCTCCTTGATGTTGCGAGGCAGACCTATAAGGAGGCAAATGCAGATGCCACAGAGCTGATTGAAAAATTATCAGGCATGTCCGAAGCTATGACTTTTCGTGAATAATTCTGACCTATCTCAGAGAATTGCGATATGGTTTTGGACTTGAAGTATGACACAGCCCGGCAATACTACATCTGTATCCCTGCTACAGAACCAGGTCCACTACCGGATATCTTCATCAATGTGTACCGCAAGCGAAACCGCATCGAGTGCCAGACGTTGGATTTGGTCAAACTCAATCAAAAGATCACCGATGCCCACAGCGAGGTGATCAATATGAGCGACCACACAATCCAGGACCTGCTACGAGATGTGTGCGCCGAAGTATCCGGGCTTTTTCGAGTCAGTGAAGCAATTGCAATTCTAGACATGCTCGCCGCATTTGCTCAGCTAGCAACGAACCATGAGTACATCAGACCAGAGCTAACGGATACTCTCGCCATCAAGGCGGGACGTCATCCGATTCGAGAACAGATTCATAGCAGCAAGTTCATCCCGAACGATGCATATGCAACACCGCAAACAAGATTCCAGATTATCACAGGCTGCAACATGAGCGGCAAGTCGACCTACATCCGCTCACTAGCCCTAGTTACGGTCATGGCGCAGATAGGCTGCTTCATCCCAGCTCAATATGCTTCCTTCCCAATCTCCCACCAGCTCTTCGCCCGTGTTGCCACGTCAGATGATCTAGACGCCAACGTCTCAACCTTCGCAGCAGAGATGCGGGAGATGGCATTCATCCTTCGTAACATCCTGCCACACAGCATGGTTATCATCGACGAGCTAGGCCGCGGCACTAGCACAACCGATGGCCTTGCCATAGCCGTCGCGCTAGCAGAAGCACTCATCTCTAGTAAAGCCATGGTCTGGTTTGTCACGCACTTCCATGACTTAGCACAAATTCTTGCTGAACGCAGCGGTGTAATCAATCTCCACTTAGCAGCAGACATCGCTCCCGACGCATCCAAGATGACCATGCAGTACCGCATTGCAGAGGGCCCTGTTCCAGATCGTCGGTATGGGCTTGTTCTCGCCAAGCTCGCTGACCTCCCACCTCCCGTCTTGAGTAAGGCGCGCTCCGTCTCAGAGGCAGTGGACCAGCTGGCTAAGCGTAGGAACAGCTCGTCGCGTGCTGTTGCCATTGCCCAGAAGCGGAAGTTACTTTTGTCTCTGCGTGAACAGTTGTTTCTTGCCCGTGGCGGCACGATGGATAACGCTAGTCTTCGGGCTTTATTGATTCAACTGCAAGATGACTTTGCGCTGCGCATGACTGCCATCAACAGAGAAATGGAGTTGTACCCCGATGACGAAAGTGAGACAATAACTCTTACTGAACCTGTTCCCAATTTGTCGGTTCATTCAACTGAAACCCAAGCGGTGGGCCCGAATGAGGACAACGAGCGAATGGACAGTACACGTCTGTTCGAGCCTATTGTGATTGATTCTGATTTGGATTCTGGGTCCGAGCATATTACTGACAATGATAGTGTGGTGTTGGTCTAAAGGACTTGAAGTTAATGACAACGGTAAGTGAACTGGCCTTTTTCTTGTCCCCCATTCTTGTAGATCCTATTTATACACTTTTATGGTGACAGTTTAATGTTTTGACAGTTTATGGAGGCCACATCACTCCCTAATGTATGATATCAGACACATGAAGTAAAAATAACAGGAATTACCTCTATACAATACATTGTATCTGCATTCGCTAGTAGGCACAGCAAAAAAGAAAAAGCAAGAAATTTATCCCAACACATGATATGCGTTTTAATGGCGCTCCCCATCATGCGATATTCAATCAAACACAGGCCAAAAGCCCAATCAACACAAAGTAAACCAAAAATGTGACAGCGAATTAACCGAAGTGGAACAGGGTTTGCTTTCCCTTGTTCTTCTTTCCTTTCTTGCCGCTACTTGAGTCGTCATTGCTGGGTTCAGCTGGAGAGGCAGTTCCAGAACTAGGGTTTGAACCCCATGCGTTCGGGGCAGGGCCGCGGTTATCATTCCAACGGACGGTACCACGAGTCTTGCCAGCCATGAGAACATTGGGCTTGGCCGCTGCAGGGAGAGCGGGGAAGGAATCAGCACCGCTGGGGGCGGGGGTGGCAGGCGTGCGACTGGAAGACGGTGCTGCAGACGATGGGCGGCTGACCGGGCTAGGCATCGCAGGACGGGAGAAAGATGGCGGTGGGGCTGCTGTTGCCCAAGGGGTAGCGGGTGTTTTTCCACGGCGAGAAGGGCCGGCTGCAGCAGAGAGAGGAGGGAAGGGGTTGGAGGGGGCGTTTGGGAGGGCGCCGCTTCTGCCCACGACGGAACGAGAGGATTTAGCTGTTGATGATTTCAAGCGTAAGACGCGTTTGCCACCAGTGTTCCCTGGTGACATTCCAGGTAGGAGACCACCGGCTGGAAGGGCTGGGTAATCCTCGTTGATGGCACGCCAGTCATTCCAGGCTCGCAGGAGACCAGAGCGCTTGGACTCGTCCTCGTAGATCTCAGCGAGCTCCTTGATGAGCTTTCCCAGTTCTGTGCTGGATGTGTCAAACAACGAGAAGAATGCATCAATGAGCTCGTTGGCGGAGATGGAAGAGGCGCGGTAGCTTGATACTCTGCTGCGGAATTCGGCGAGTTTGGTGGGATCATTGTGGAGAAGATTAGAAGCACGTTCAATCACAGCCTCATGGCGCATTCTCCTGGTCTGGTCTTGCGCAGTGGCTGGCGCAGAGTTGGCAGAAATATTCAGACCTTCAAATGCTGCAGTAGGGAGAGGCTGAGAGCGTGGAGCGGGGGCAGACCGTACTGGAGTGGCAGCGGCGGATCGCTCTGGAGCACGCACGGGTTGGACGTCATCTCGAGTCAGCTGGCCGCCAAAGTTTCGTGTTGAGATAGACTGAGAACTCTGTATAGCCATCTGTCGCTGGTATGCAACTTCCGCACGGGTCATTGGCTGTGCACTAGAGACTGGTAGTGGCTCGGCGTTGGGGTCACGGCCTCGGCCGGCACCCCGACGCTGGCGTTGCTGTTGGTAAGGAGTGCGCATGTTATCGAATTCGGCCAGATCAACCATTCTCGCGTCTCGCCGAACGTCCTTAGAAAGGCCTTCGGGATGTGCCTCGAGTTGGTGAGCCTTCAAGTCCATTTGCGACTCGAAAACAACGAACTTTTTTTCCAAACATTCCTTATCCAGGCAAGCAAAATGATCCTTATGGAAGTGGTTTTCTAGTGCGTTGTAGTCAATATAGTATTGTTGTTGACGATGGGAGGAGCGTCGGTCACAGATGTGGCAACGTTCGTGTTTATCGCGGCAGTGGGTGTACAGCTCGTCGTCCCCATAGAACCGTTGACGGCAGAAACCACACTCTGGATGTCCCCTAAAGCCGCTCTGGTCTATAGCTCCAGGCTTGTCATCGCCAGACTTTTCGTGCTTACGCAATTCTGCCATGGTGAATAGTTCATGCTCATGAGTAAAGACCTTCTTGTTACGAGTACAAAGATCACTATTCGGAGGACACAGTCAGCTGCTGATTCAAAAATTGCGCAGGTTTTGATATCGACATACCACATAACTTTGCTGTGCTTGCTCTTTACATGGCGGTGCAAGTCTGGCCATCCCAGACAGGCCACATCGCAGTCCTCGTCCGGACAGTTATATCGCAGCAACAGCACTGTATCTTCGAAGATCTCATCGCTTCCGTATTCAATCCCAAGGTTCTCATCCGTACGAGCAAAGTCTTTCTTGTCGAACTCCTCATATCGTCGCACTGGATCATCTGTGAAAATTACGTAGTTCGATTCGGTCTAGAATAAAAATCAGCAAATGAAACAGAATTCCAACAAAAAGCAACTCAGCTCATCGAGAGATAGTCGCAAGATGATCATACCCTGCAATGAGCACAGGCTTTGTTCTTGTACAGTGCCCGCAACCGAAGCGCACAAATATGACACGTCCTATGGTTACAGGGGGACACCGAGGTATGTTCGACAGCAGAGGCACAAATAAAACAGACTTCCCCATCATCTGCATCGTCTACAGCCGCTTCTACCGGTTTCTTTGTTGCTGGCGTCGCGGCTTTCGAGGGCTGAGTATCGTGGTTGCTGGTCTGATCGGTATTGCGATTTTGTCGGCCTGCATCGCCGCCGCCGCCGCCGCCGCCACGACCGCCGCCGCGGGTGCGAGGTTTAGGGCGTCTTTCTCCATCGCCGGCATTGTGTTGCGAATCTCCACGGCCGGAGGAAGCTGCCCCTCCGCGGCCGCGGCGACGACTGCCGCGACCCTGGCTGGATGACTCTGGGGTTGGGGCCTGGTTATCGGCCATTGTGGAGAGGTGAAGTAGTGTCGCAATGCAAGCTGTGGCTCGGCGTCAGTAACAGGTGTACTGGAGCTGCAGAACTCTGGGGTTTGTGGATTGGTGGGGGAGAGGTACTTGGGAAAAAGTGAGATGTCGCTGACTGATCCCGCATTCCGCAGCCCTGGGGGCATCGGATGAGGATATGAGGTCTCCAACCGATCACTCTGTTTGTCTGTTTGATTACCCAAAACCCTCAGTCAACCAACTGACTGACTCATGGAGCATGGATTCAAAGACTATGGCTATATTTAGCTATCCCTTATACAAACACCATGCTGATGACCACACATATTAGGCAAATCCATATGCCTGTTAGCACCGGCCTGCTTTATCAGGTCAAACACGATGATCTGGGACCCAAATAAAGGATTATTTGACTACCAATAGAAATGTCACAGGCTATAGTGTATCTAGGGGCTCTGGGTATGTAGTTTGACAAATCAAGGCGCATCATAAGCTTCCCAGAAAGCAAACGTCGATATCTATTACGTCCAATGGTATATTTGACCTAGAAGCACACATTGTGTGTGGCTAAAATATACAGCCTACGTGGGAAGGATCTGCACATGTATATCATGTAGTAGGTTGTAGATTTCAAGACCTTTGAGACTGTAAAATCACATATGGAGGGCTACACTAACTCCCGCTGGAGAGCATAAGCAAGTCAAATCCAAAAGAAACAAAAATGGGGAATGAAAATTGCTCAAAATTCACGCCAGCATCCCCATGCATCGCAAAAAAAACCCGTGAAAGACCAAGGAGAATCGTTAAGAAACAGGACTTGGTTTGGAGCCTGCTCTTCCATAATCGAAGCCAATCTGTCATCCCGAACTATTCATCGGGATTGTACAAATTCTGGTTGAGAATTTTCGTCATAGTAAACATGTGGACACGATCTTGCTTGAAGACAGCACGCATAGCATCGTCGCATAGAATTTGGCGTCGATCGCTGGGGTCCTGAAGCTCATTCTCGCGAATGTATTGCCAAACCTTTTTGACGGTTTGGGGTCGCGAAAGCTTTGCAGGAATTAGCAAGAGAGTCCCAGAGACTTGGAATCGGGACAGGTACTCACTGTGGGTTCTCCCAGAAGTGCGGACAGAGGTTCAGAAAGATTCATAGGTTTCTGTGGCCGTGTTAAAACTGATGGGAGAGTTGGGAAGAAGATATAGAGGCATACGTGGAACCCAGTATTTCGGTTGACCTCCTTTTTTGGCTCTTCGCCTGAACCAATATCCGAATCATCTTCTGCCTTGACCCTCTTTGAGGTCTTCGCTTTGCTCTTCTTCTTCACAGGAGCCGCACGCCGAGTATTCCCCCCACGGGTGGGTCGCGCGCGCGAGTTCTCTTCAGCTTGCAACTTGGCTGCGAACACCGCATCCGCATCGGTATCAGTATCAGGCTTGTGTTTCTTCGCAGGCGGTGATGCGCTTGCGGGCTCCGAACTGGCATCGCTGAAGGCCTGGCGCTTCACAGGAGACGATGAGGGAGGCCGGGAGGGCACCGCAGCTGAAGCTGAATCACCATCGCGCTGACCATTGCTTGGGGCAGTTTCGTCAGGCGACCCGCCTACACCGTTCTGTTCAGCATAACGATCGAATCGTTCCATGATCAGCTGCTTGATCGTAGACTTTGTAAATGTCAGCCACACCCCTTTGCCAGTCTCCATGGATAGCTTCGAAATAATATTGCGACATAAATGGTCGTAACTTGACTGACCTTCATCGGAGTGAGATCATAGCCGACGGCATCCTGAAGACCTTTGCGAATTCGCTTCTCGGAGATGGTAGTGAGGTCGCTTTTGGCCAGAATATCGTCAATTATGTCGATATATTTGTCGCGCAAGTCAGAGGTCACTATTGCGCAAGATTGCCGATCAGTTGGGAGGCTCTTTGGAGAACCGGCAGTTGGCACCGGGGCAGCACCGGGGCAGCACCGAAACAGCTTACACGACATCTTGTTGCTAGTAGATCACGTAGATTGGCTGCTTATGTTCAGAAGTGCGAGCTGAGTTGAGCTTTGTAGTTCGCAATTGAGGAAATCGTGGGGTTTGTAGAAGAGTGTGGTGGCCGAGGGAGAGCTCGGAGTTGTCAGGTGGGCTATACTCAAGTCGCACTGGCGCTTAAGACCGGCGGGGCATTGGAGACAGAAAGGCCAGGCGAAATAAGTGCAAAAAGGGGAAGGTTATGAATGAGATGGTAGACAAAGACCTGGTAAGGTAAAGAGCTTGGTGTAAGATATGCAATCTAAAAGAAATGTGTATCCAAATTGAGACCTCTAGAAACGTCTATGATGATTGACGGGCCCGACCTCAAAGTGGACTGGGGAAATCATGACTAAGCAAGATACAGTTCAGTCACGTGCTTTTATGCCTGAGGCATTAATTAACAATTGCTGACTCAGTGCTGAGTCAGTCCACACAAAGAACCCGCTTGGCCGCCGCGATTTGTTTCTGCCCGAAAATCCATCAGTGGATTGCACCGATCTATCTTTGCTCCGAAGCCTCTAGACGCCTTCGGTATACCCATCATGGCGCCCAGTTTCGATACCCTGTCCGAGCAGGATCTCCACGAGGAAGAGGAGGAGGAGATTGATTTCTCCGGTAAGTGCAAGATTTCTCATGGTCTGTGTGCCCCTCTCTCTAACACGTTAATCCACAGATCTCAAGGAGCAATATGAAGTTAAAGTCGAGGAGGGACTGGATACATTTATCGTCATCGATGGCCTCCCCGTTGTGCCCGAAGATAGCCGACAAAAACTCGTCAAGTTCTTATTGAGAAAACTCAACTCCGTCGGCAGCACCTCCGAAGATGCGGTTTTCATGCCCGTTAACGACAAGAAGATGACCGAAGGGTGCGTATTGGATATCCAATGAGAAATGGAGGAAACATGGATGATCTCTAACCTTCGTTGGGGCGGTATAGGTTCGCCTTCGTGGAATATGAAACCCCGGAAATGGCAGTGGCCGCCGTCAAGCAGTTGCACGGCGTCCCTCTCGATAAGAAGCACATTATGGCTGTCAACAAGTTGATGGATATTGAGCGTTACGGTCGTGAAGGTCGGGTCGATGAAGAATACAAGGCACCCACTCCGGAACCGTTCAAGGAGAAGGAGCACCTGCGCTCGTGGATGGGAGATAGCAGCGCCCGGGATCAATTCGCCCTTTACCGTAACGACAAGGTTGGCGTTTTCTGGAACAACAAGACCAACCCACCAGAGAATATCGTGGATCGCGCTCACTGGACACAACTTTTCGTTCAATGGTCCCCCAAGGGTACATTCCTTGCATCCGTCCACCCCCAGGGTGTCCAACTCTGGGGCGGCGAGTCTTTCTCCAAGCAAAAGCAGTTCCCTCACCCCTTCGTGCAGCTGATCGAGTTCTCCCCGCTTGAGGGTTACTTGACAACGTGGTCAGCACGGCCCATCCAGGTCGAGGAAGGCCAGCCACTATTGACCTACGAGGAGGATGGCAAGAACATCATTGTCTGGGATATTGAGACCGGCAAGCCTCTCCGTTCGTTCGTGTCGCACGACTTGGCTGCCCCCGCCGAAATCGAGGGCAGCGATGTTGCCCCTAAGAAGAAAGTGCAGTGGCCTGCCTTCAAGTGGTCCGCTGACGAGAAGTACGTTGCTCGCATGCTCCAGGGCCAATCTCTCTCTATCTACGAACTTCCCAACATGAACCTTCTTGGTCGGACTTCCGTGAAGATTGAGGGCGCTATGGACTTCGAGTGGTCCCCTGCCACCGTCGCCCGCGAGGGTGTCAAACAGTACGAGCAATTGCTCTGCTTCTGGACTCCTGAAATCGGTAGCAACCCTGCCCGTGTCGGTATGATGAGCGTGCCCTCAAAGGAGATTGTCCGAACCCGTAACCTGTTCAACGTTTCCGATGTCAAGCTGCACTGGCAATCACAGGGTGCTTACGTCTGCGTCAAGGTCGACCGTCACTCCAAGTCGAAGAAGTCTATGGCTACTAACTTGGAGATCTTCCGCGTTCGCGAGAAGGGTGTGCCTGTGGAGGTTGTTGACAGCCTTAAGGATACTGTGATTAACTTTGCCTGGGAGCCCAATGGATCCCGATTCGTTGTTATCGCCAACGGCGAGGCACCAACTGGTGCTGCCGTTCTCCCTAAGACTTCCGTCTCATTCTTCGCCCCTGAGAAGAAGGGCTACACTGCCGGCAACTTCAAGCTGGTGCGCACTATTGAGAAAAAGACTAGCAACGGCATCTACTGGTCTCCCAAGGGCCGATTCGTTGTTGTCGCCACTGTTCACTCCCAGACCAACTTCGATATGGACTTCTGGGATATGGACTTCGAGGGCGAAAAGAACGAGGCTGAGAAGGATCTCGCAGCCAACCTCCAGCTGATGAAGACCATCGAGCACTACGGTGTCACAGATGTTGACTGGGATTCCACTGGTCGTTACGTTGTCAGCAGCGCCAGTGTGTGGACTCACTCGGTAAGATTCAACCTTTTTCTATTTCTGATTTGATTAATAATATTAACTGTATAATAGATGGAGAACGGTTGGAACATGCACACCTTCTCTGGTACTACCCTCTCCGAGAACCCCACCGAAAAGTTCAAGCAGTTCCTTTGGCGCCCACGCCCTGCCACTCTTCTCAGCAAGGAGGAGCAGAAACAAGTGCGCAAGAACCTCCGCGAGTACTCAAAGGAGTTCGACGAGGAAGACAAGTACGCTGTCGACATTGCCAACACTGCCGTTGTCGAGACCCGCAAGCGTGTACTCAGCGAATGGCTCGCTTGGCTCCGTCGGGAGAAGGAGCTCTTGGCCGAAGAGAAGGAGGCTTTCAGCCTCCCCGAGGACGCAGATTTACCCACGGCCGCAGCCGACGCACGCCCGGTTGTCGAAGACCAGGGCGACTCTGTGGTCGAGGAGATTGTGGAAGAGATTATCGAGGAGACCGAGGAGGTCATTGGCTGATGAATCTCTCTTTTCTATTATCGCAAATAATGTGTTTCCTTTTGTTCCTCTTTTCCCCCTGTTTCTCTGCTGGCGTTTCGCGCTTGTGCCTGAACCCAGCCTTCTGTCCCCCTCTTGTTTCTTTTAGGTCCCCTGGGCAAGCCCAGTGAGGATCGGGACATTCCAAAAATCAATAGATCGAGCGGTGCGCCTCCCGACCAAATGTGCAATGTGGATAAGCATGAGAGATGGCTACGAAACCAGTTCCTTAGCAAAGTTCAACCTTGTATTTCTTATTTAAATCATTTAAAGTAAGCCATCTCAAGCGTAAAGACCCCTTCCGACTCCCACCGTTCCCAATGCTACCAGCATCATCCCCAAGGTTGAGTCCAGCGCAAACTTCATAGCACTTCCCGTAGGTCGACTCTGGCTCCCGGTGGTAGTGGATGTTGCGGCATTCGATGACGGCTCAGCCGCGGACGTGGAAGAAGGCGAAGAAGTCGAAGAAGTCGAGGAAGCCGTGGACGAAACAGAAGAAGCCGAGGGCGACTCAACGGTAGGTCTCTTTTTTGGCAAGACGTTCTTCCTGAAGTAGAAATCATGCATGCCCACAACATTACCAGGAGGTGTATACTCGCAAACAACATACCACCCCTGAGCCCGTGGCTCGCCTCGCGCCGCAACCTTCAGCCCTTCCAGTCCATCTTGTTCAGATTCATCCTCGGTGAAACGAGGCGCCATCAGCACCCCTTCAAAGGCATCGAAGGCATCCTCTTGTACTTCGACCTCATTATCTCTTTTGGCATTATCATCCTTCTTATACCCACAGTTGACAGCAGCACAGCCAACCTGCGTAGTATCCTTCCAGACCAACTGAGTGAAATGTCCCGTTTCCTCAGTGAAGCCTGTCGGCTTGCCGAAGTTATACATATCGCCTTCATCGCCCCAGGCGATAACAGCAGCAGAGACATTGTCAAATCCGAAGGCGAGGTTCTCGCCGTAGCTACTTTTCTGTATTGATGTTAGCATTATTATCTCGTTGTATTGAGGATTTCAATACCCACCGAGTGTTTCCAGATACAGGCTTCTGCCCACTTCCGCGAGTAATCGGCCAGAGTTTCGTTCCATCTTAGTGGATCGGCATCGTGGTTGGCGCGGTACTCGTTCGTGACTTTCAACATATCATCCTTGAACTGGTCGAAAGAGGTGTAGGATGGTGGTAATGGTGCTGTTGGTGTTGGCGCGGGCACTTTCACCGTGGTCCAAACGGTAACCACATCGGCGTTTGCGCTGAGTATTTGCATGGTGAGGAGTACAAGAATGGCCAGCCATCGTGTAGTTTTGGTGTGGTTGTTTCGGTCCATTTTGAAAGGTTGAGATTCTTCTTTTTGACTTGAAGCTGTAAATAGGTGATAGTCGTAGTTGTAGTGTATTACTGCATGATCTAAGATGGCTTTTTGGTGTGTTCGTTGGATCAATAGTAGTAGGGCCAGGCTCCGATCCTATTTAGGCGTCGGACTCCAAGCTGTGACAGCGTCCCTTGGATAGAAGTGCGTGGTGATGCAACGTTGGAATATTCGTGTATTGTCTATTGTCTTAGGCAACCACGGCCATTATTCTGTATATTTTGTTCTCATAGAAGCTGACCCAATACTGGTAGAAAATCGGTCAGATAATCTTCTTCACACAGCTCTCTAGACACCTGAAGGATGAAGAAGGTTGGGGAATTAGAGATAAAGAGAAAAAAAAAGCCCAAGACATTTTGAAATTCTATTAATGTTTTAAAATGTAACCGGGCAAGGCGATAGGATCAGAAGGTCATCACTTTTCTCCCTTTTCTTCATGTCCGTTTCAGACACTGCAGTGGTGTTCCAGCAGCCGCCGGTGTTGACGTCAGACTCTTAGGGCTAGGTTGCATCGTATTCACTTCAACTATTCAACTATTCAGGTATTTCATATTTCATATGGATTGATCTTTATTTGCTCTATGTAGCTAGACTATCGGGTTTCGTCTCATTTCGCTTTCTTTTGTCTAGCTGAAACGGACACATCAATGTTCAATTTCTCTCTAGAAAAAGCAAATATCCAGCATACCCTTGTGCATCAAAATCGCTGTTTATACTATATTCATGCAACTCTACTTAGGAGAAAATCCCTTGCTAACATGCATGTCGGCATTTGGACCTATACGCCACTCGCTATACAATTCCCGGGGGTATCGGTATCTATTTACATCACATTGCAACCAATTCCATACATAGCTCGTTCTACATCCCGCTTGACGTGGTACCAGTCAGCCCGGCGCTCAGCAAATTCATAGACCTCCTCTACACGCCAAATCCCATGGAACCGATCCGCATCGGCGATAACAGTCGCCAGTTCCTTGGCGTGGCCAGGATCGATCAGGTAGATCTGCACAAGCTCACGGAATGCTGTGAAATAGAGAAGTAACTCGTTGTTTCGCAATGTTTGGATATACTTGAAATAGTGGTTCATGTCGCTAGGAAGTCAAGTCAGCTTGGTACTTTGGGCAGCTGAAGATCGAGATACATACCTGATCAACTTGAGTGACCCCTCCACGCTGACGCGCTGTCGCTTGAGGTGTTTACATAAAGCGGTAAATAAACGGAGCCCGACTTCTTGATTGAACACATCTAAGGTGCTCTTATCCGTGCTTCCGACTAGCATCTGCGTGTGTGATGAGACCACGTCGACGACGGCGATGGCGACTTCGCTGACGCCTACGTCCATGGTTTGTCGGTGCGGATCTGAAGAAACTTCAGGGTTGAAATCGGTGGCTAGCTGTCGCGTTGCCAGAATATAGTCCACTTCTTCCATAAGGACGTCGATTCCTTTATTCAGGCCAGCTGCGACACGTTCATCGAGCATCTGTTCGAATTTTTTCTTTTCTTTATTAGCAGGGTCTAGGAAGTCATTTCTATCAGTTAATCGCATGCCGATCAACTCCTGCTCGTAGAATACATCCATCATTTGCAAGATCAAATCGCCGACATTGACCAGTTCCAGAAAAGTGACGAGGGGCTCGACCCCAGATTGGTCACGCTCCCCTTGTTCGCGGGGTCGGTAGTTGGATAGATGACTGACAGCCTTATCGAATCCAACGATAACGTGCTGCTGTCCCAATATACGTAGCAGCGTCACGAAGATTGCCTCGCATTGTTGCTTCGCTGCATGACCGAATTCGCCGCCAAGTCGCACAAATTGAGCGGCTCTCTCCAAGCTGGATTTGGCGGAATGAACTAAACCGAGTGCGATTTCGATACTGAACAATGAGCGGATACCCTCCATCTTCGACTTCATGATGGCTGCTTTTGCTGCCAGTTCTGTGGTGGGAACTTCCTCGACCACTGGGGCAAGCGATGGTATTGTCGAAAATCGATTAGGACTTTTGGATGGTTGCGCCGGATTTTCACTGCTTGTTTCCGTGTCGGATTTCGACTCCTCGTTTGATTTGGTGGTTGAAAAGCTCGGGAGGATGTTTACCGGCATCATAATCACCTTCTTGAAGGAAGTAAGGAAGTCTCGTTTATCGGCTTGGCGATTAACATTCGACATCAAAAAAGACTCTGTCGAGGCCGCCTGTTCAGAGAGATGCCGGTCCCACTCACTCACTGTAGATTCACAGGCCTTCTTGAAAAAGTCCAGCTCTTCTGCTAAATATAGATCAAGGTGTGGCTCGTAAATCTTGATCACGACATTATCAAGATACTCGTTGAACTTAGTATCAGAGCCTCGTATGGGAAGCAGAGCCTCTGAGAGGTTCATGCATTGGACAAAAGTGGCCGAGATTGCAGTGAGATATGACTCGATGCTAACGCGATGCAGTTCATCAAATATTGCTGTGAGGAAAGGATACAAGACATCTTGGCCAACTTTTGTCATAAAAGTTGATGTGACGTCTAGAGCAGGGGGGAAGACGCGGTTCATAATGGATATTTCATCATTGAAGGCCACACTGAGACGTGTGAAGAAAGCCTGCGTCTGCTCCATTTTCACCTGGCCAGTCGATCCATCAATGCAGGAAGCGACGCTTCCTAGCTCAGACTTCCGAGTCATCAGGTGATTGTGATGGATAAAGAGGTCCACGGCAGCTTGCCCACCGTTTAGTGTCCATAGAATGTGTGCGTATTTCCGCATGGTCCCGTCAATGTCGTCCGTTTCGTACCCCTGACGGAATTCCTTCAGCGCAGCAGTCTCAAACATCGAGACTGTACGCTCTAAACGGTCCACCCGCTCTTCCCATCCTTGCGTCATATCAGATTTTGAGAACATTAGCAACTGTGCCAGTATCTGCGCTTGGGCCTGAGGGTCCTTGTATTCCATGAAAACTAAGTTTTCAGACGATGGTCCAGATCGCCCGATATCCTCATAAAACGGTGCCAGTGCGGCATGTACCTTGCCGTATTCCTGACGTGCCTCGCCCCGGATTGACCTAACCTGTTTCAACACGCTCAGGACGGGGTCATCCTGGAGATCCTGGAGCATATCCGGCTGTGATGCCGTATTCACTAATTCAATATTATCGAATCCATCGGATATTTCTTTCAGATCATTGGAAGGGTCGTCGCCAACAGTGATCGCAGGGACTGGTCCATCGCCCAGCTCAGCCTCCTCTTGCTGCTCGACGACCTCCATGTTGGCAACTGTCCCAAATACAAGCTCGGCATGCTTTCTAGCATCTGTTTCATCCCAGCACCCAATTCGTTTCAATTTGTGTACCCATCGAGTGTCATCATACGCCATCTCGTGCATGAGCTTGCATGACCGTGCTGCTCGGATCAGATCAACGGGGCCGACGAAGTCAAGGATAGAGGATACGATCTCTGTTTTACCCTTTTGTCAGCATTTGTTTTCTCCATCACTCCGCGTCCTCATATCACGCACCTGCCGGAAGAGCAGCTCTAGAGATGTCTTCCATTGATGCCATGCGCAGCGAGGCCAGCACATCCCTGCGCGGCCGAGCTGCGGCCGTGGGCCCTTTTTTTACACCTGACATCTTGTATTTCTCTGCCCTTCATCGGAAGAGCACTTGAGGGGGGGCTCGGGGTTTGAGCAGCCTCGGACTCGCTCCAGGCTGTCCTGCGGGGTTGTGGAGGGTGGTCTGGTCTCAATATCGAGCAGACACGGTGTCTTCGGGGTATATTTGGTGTCAAATCCTCATGCAGACATATTCGAATCCAACCGCTTATCTCTCAGCTGTAAATCAGGAACCACATTCCAATGCTGCATGATCACCGTGCACAGACACAGTCCAATGCCGCTTCCCCCAGTTGGCAAAATATACCTACACCGCTCTCTCATGTGCATTAATTACTCCGTACATCTAGACAGAGTAGGCGAGTTGGGTCTTCTTCAATTGAAAGAAAATAAGATAGTGGAATGGTATTTGGGTTTTGATGCTGTAGACAGCTCAAATATGACGACTTTGTAACTAACCATAAGAGTGAATCAAAAGTCGAAATTGGAGATCTTCGGGGTAACTTAGTGGCTAAATATATACATCAGGTTGGGACTTAGCATAGCACATAATTTCCAAATCCCAATTTAGATTTTTGAACCAATGAAAGCTCGTAAAGCCACATAGATCAACGGGATTCTCTTTGATATGATATGCTCTGCAATACAAGCTGATATAGCTAAACATAGCTGGAGTAATACTTAACTAGATGTTTATATGGAGGTGTAGGGAATATCCTGAGATACTCCGGCCTTTTAAGGAAGATAGGAAATCTCGGGAAAATAATAGACCAGTGTGACATATATAGCTAGTACTTAGTAACCTGATCTGAAGGTCTTCTAGCTATGTTCGAATAGAACACCGTTGTTCCGGTGATGCGTGTTTTCTCGGTGAATCCCGGGATACGCACAACCGGAGAAAGGTGAAAAAAAAAAGAACACAGGACCAAAAGCAGACAAGGAAGCTGTAAACAGAGTATAAGAGTTTATTTCAATCAATTAGTAGATTTTATATAGATCAACCCATTGTAGGTCAGTAGAATCGTGGTGTTCCGAAAGTCGGTTTTCTAGCGTGGCCGGGAGCCAATCAGAGCAAGGGGGTAATCATCAATGTCAAGTTTCTTCGACTTCGACCTCAACCTCCAGTACCTCTCTCCCTGTACCATCCCCCCCCCTCTCCCCACCCACCCTTCTCTCGCTTTGGCGATACAGCACCCATTCCCAATCATATTCAATTGCTTGGGTTAAACTTCGTCATGCTGGGACGTTCGATTTTGCGCGCGTCCAACCGGGCCATTGCCCGCCAGTCCCTCGGGAAGTCCACGGTACGCCCTCACTCCATTGAACTTCGCGGAAAAGGACAATCGATTCCTTAAACCCACATTGGATCACAGAAGGGTTCTGTTGCTAATCCTCAACAGCGTGCCTCTTCCACCGCCGCCGGCGCCGAGGCCGCCAGCTCCCCCTTCTACCTCACACTCACTGCTGCGCTTGCAACTGCCGCCGCCGCCGGTTCCACCGCTTGGTACTACCATCTCTATGGCCAGGAGGCTTTCGCCATGACACCTGCTGAGGAGGGGTGAGTGACATTGCCCAGGAGGATCGCCATACTTGTGGCTTCACAGCCGAGCATTGTGCGATCCAGGTTGAGAACAATGGTGGAAGCTAATAGGTAATTTTATTTAGACTCCACGCTACTCAGTACCCTTGGGTGCACGAGCGGTTCAACAAGACTTTTGATCACGCCGCGTGAGTGCCCTCTCCCCAAAGTCACATTTTTGCTCTCACCAGCATACATTGTACTGACCCCGTCCAAGTCTCCGCCGTGGTTTCCAGGTCTACCGTGAAGTTTGCGCTTCCTGCCACTCTCTCACCCGTGTCCCATGGCGCTCAATGGTTGGCACTATGCACACCGTCGACGAGATGAAGGCCTTCGCCGAGGAGCACGAATACGACACCGAGCCCAACAGCGAGGGCAACATCGAGAAGCGCCCCGGCAAGCTTTCCGATTACATTCCCGCCCCCTACCCCAATGAGGAGGCCGCCCGTGCCGCCAACGGTGGTGCTTATCCTCCCGATCTCAGCTTGATCACCAAGGGCCGTCACGGTGGCTGCAACTACATCTTCAGCTTGCTCACTGGTTACCCCGATGAGCCTCCCGCTGGTGCTGCCGTCGCCGAGGGCATGAACTTCAACCCCTACTTCCCCGGTACCGGTACGTAACGACAAGCCCATGATGTTTTTTTTTTTTTCCTCCCTAGGGTTTCTGACTCAGTGATAGGTATTGCTATGGGCCGTGTCCTGTTCGACGGTGTCGTCGAGTACGAGGACGGTACCCCTGCCACCACCTCCCAGATGGCCAAGGATGTCGTCGAGTTCCTGAACTGGTCCGCCGAGCCCGAGATGGACGAGCGCAAGAAGATGGGTGTCAAGGCCGTTGCCCTCCTGACCGGTCTGTTCGCCGTCTCCGTCTGGGTCAAGCGCTACAAGTGGGCCCCTCTCAAGACCCGAAAGATCGTGTACAGCCCCCCGATCGGCCCCCGCCGTTAAATGTTACAGCAAAAGTGGAAAATGTGATAGGCTGAAGGGCGCCGGTACGACTTGGGAACCCATACCACATCCCCGGTTTTGATACAGGTCCCTCAAAGAGGCCTCTCTGTTTCGTCATTTTTTGTGTCTATCTATTGGTTGCTGTGTCTGTTTTGTTAGAACGCTCCCCGAACACCTGTATCTGTATCCTAGATATATTCTTTTTTTCATTTCCTTTCGAAAACTGTGTGCTTCGAGGAGTCATCTGAATTTAATTTCCTTTGTGATTATGACAGATGAGACCATTACATATATGCAACTCTCTAGAGTTGCAGTTTATGTCTGTATGTGCATGTCTGTCTCATAGGAACATGATATGATATATGTATTCTGAGATTTGGTATTGAGACGAGTGGTGTACAGAGATTATTTTTTGATTATATATGTATGCAAGAATCTACACGGCTATAAAACCCATCAAAAAAAGACGTAGAAGCAACCTCAGGCCCGGGTATCATCTAAAGCTCGCTCGCCATCACCAAAGAGAGGAGCAAAGAAATAATCATAGCTAACCCACGCACTCAAAAACACCATATTAGACAGAGCCACCAGCCACGGAGGAATACGACCATCAGGACCTGCGAATATCCTGGACAATGTCATAGTCGAAATCAACGAAGGCGCCCACAGAGCTAGGAAGACGACCTTCCCGATCTTCTGGCGCGTGGTTGTAATATGATAAGTTCTGATCTGCGCAAGATATTCTTGATATGAAGCAGGTAGATCATGTTCCGCAGCGCCAGTCTTGAGCAACCCAAGGTAGCGGGCAGAGGGTTGAGCGTAGTTAGGGTCCGGCCGGCAATGCAAGAAGGCGGTATACCACCAGGAGAGCTTTGGACCACTGGGCAGCGCGACATGGCCTTTCTGGGATTGGGATTTAATGCGGGCGTCGTCCGCAGCTGGTGAGAGCAGGGTACGTGCCTTAAAAGCTGGTGTGGTAGGGTAATCTGGGACAGGGTCGGATGGGTCGTACGAGTGAGGGAAGGGATGACAATCGATCACACCGTCGTGGTATCCACGACCACCGCCCTCTGTGGCGATAATCTTCGCATAGTCGGCTAGTGTGACCTCATAGACGACTCCGATGAGAGGTTTGTGCCATTGACGCTTGTCGCAATCCGAGACTACCTCCACCTCTCGTGTCCGACCCACGAGCGCTGTTTTCTCTGACAGATACTCACTGTCCAACATATCCGTCTCGTCATCTTGGGGTTCGATCTCATCACATGCTGGATGAGAGAAATCTCTGTATTGTGTGCCTGCGAAACACGGCTCTAGGTATGGTACTCCCGGAAGATCGAAGGTGAGACGAAGTTCGGGGACAAGCACAGAGATCTGCGAGAGCGGTTTGATGCCCCGCATTCCGCGAAATGTCTTGGATGCTAAGTTTGACCCGTACGCGAGGTAGAGGACTGTCTCATCTCTGGCGACTGATTCTGATACACTAATCCCGTGTTCCTGCTGTGTAGAAATCTTCTCGGGAAGAGCCTCATCTTGATCAAGGGAAACGGCGACACGTGAGGCTCGACGGCGTTCAACATTCGTTCTAGGAATAGGGTCGATATCGAGTTTGACATTCGCAGGCTTAGCAAGGAAAACGGGGATAAGGCCTCGAAGCTTGTCTAGAGGTAGGGTTGCATTGAACTGGCATCGAGAAGCTGGCGCCTCGTCGCTAGTTTGTGGCGCATGCTGTGCCATAATACAGATCTATAGCGCAATATTGGGCGTATGAACGTGAGATCTGTCAGTTACCTGGGTGATTGTGTACTTAAAAAGCTTCTCAGCCACACGAATTGATGCATAGTCAGCAAACCTGTGGACCAGATTGGCGATTATTAATCGCGGAGAACGGCCCGGGGTTACTGGACGGATCGCGGAGTTTGCACGGACCGATCGGATATTGAGGATTGAAGATTCATTCTGAGGGTTAGTGGGAGAGAATTTAAGGATGGTAGTTGAGTTATAGATCTCTAGAACTGACCTGAGGACTGTGGGGAGGATAGTATGGGGAGACAGGTGCTTTTCATATGATCTCAAATATGTGACGAGCACGCAACTTGGGATAAAAATAGAACACTTTCCCCTAAGATCTAGATTATCAATCTCGCGTTTTTAGATCTATTCAAGGGCAAGTACTCCGTAGACTACAATGATATAGATTTTTTCAATAACTACATATATATAAGTAAAGAATGTACTTACCCTCAGCCACCAAACCATAGGAGGATTAACATAAATCAACTAAAACAAGACCTGGTTATCTTGATCATGTTTGCAAATCAAACCTCGGTCATCCACGATCTCTATTCGTTACCTACATATGTACGGAGTAGTTGTATATATATAATATTAGGACATTTGACGTTATAGTTGAGGTATCATGTGATCCATGCCGTATGCTGGAACTGAGTTTAGTTCAGCACCCTTCTCAAGGCAGCTCTGGAGAGCACACTTTCTTTTACATCCCATCTTCATGTTCTGATTTCAAGTGTATGATGATAGCAACCATGAAGCTAGTTCGGGGCTCACCTGCACCAATTAATCCAGACACAGCGAGAAAGGCGACTGTCAAAGACCAGTCGACTTCGGGATACGGCCTCACAGGCCCAGGTTACCAAAAGCCAAAAGCCTCTCCATCCCAGCCTTCCGAGTCGAAAATTGTTCGATTGAAGCTCACAAGACCAAGGCCGCCGAAATCCAATCCCCAAGAAGTGGATTGGGATGAAGATCTTCGTCCTACACCCAATGAGATAGTGGAGAACAAATGGACCCATGGAGGAACCTCTGTTGCCCATACAGACCCGAGTCGACCGAAGACAGTAAGCAAAAATATGGGAGGCAAGCGAGCGATGCCATCAAAGCCACAGACAACCTCGGTCAAACGCCGGAAATCGAACACGAGGAAGAGCACTACTACCAAAGAGGGCAGCACTGGAGGACCGCAATTGCCATTGATAACGCTTCCTGAAAGCACTCTTCCTCCTGCCGTCCTTTTGGGTACTATTGGGCCTTCTGATATTGGTCCCCTGGACGGGCAAACCAAAGACACAAGGCGCAATGGACGTGAGCCCGAAGCTTCGTATCAACCTTCGCCACCGACAGATGGACACAACAAGCATGGAAATGACGGCGAGGGACCTGCGATCGTCGACATAAGAAGCTGCAAATCAGTGACAACAGATTCATCCTCAGATTTAGAAGATCGTGGCAAAGGGCCATCCCGCACCTCAAAAGTCAGCATCCTAGAGCATCGTGCACAGTCCAATGGGCAAACAAATAAAGGCAAAGCTGCTCATGTGATGCCCGAGGTACCCTCAAGTTCCGATGTCGATCTTAAAGCACAGTCTCGTACGAGTACTTCAAAGGTCACTATCTTGGAGTCAAGGGCACTTCCAAAGGGACAAAACAGCCAGACCAAGGCGGTTCATGAAAAGAGTCGTCTCAAACATCGTGGCCGAGCAGAGAGTGTTGGAAACAAGCTGATGCTTGCGCTCCACGGAGCAGGGCCTTCTTCGCGGGAACCAGGCAATGATCAAAGTGCACCTCTCATCATCTCATCTGACCCAGTGCAACCCGAGGAATCTCCCAAAAAGCAGTCTGAAAAAATGCCGGCCGACACAGTGTTGGAACCCTCAAAGACTGAAACCGCACTGGAGAGAACAAGTCCAATTGAAATGCACCAAAACCAAATTGAGCCCAAGACCGTCAATCCAGCATTTATTGCCAAAACAATTCTGCCCAAGGAAGAGCAGATAGAACAAGCAGATGATGCAACCTTCTGGAAGACCCTGGACCCTGATAGTTTGTCCACTACAGCAAGCTCTTCAGAATATGAAATCGGCAGAGGCTTGATGGATGGCGGCCCTTCGATCCTTGATTACCACATGGAAATGGAACATATCCCCGGATTTGCAACCTTGCAGCCCATGAGATCCGCACCGACCACCTCTTCACATGCCACCAACATCTGCGAAAGCCAGGTGGATAGCTCGGATATTTCGAATGTAGGAAAATTCGATGATCTCACGGCAGAAAGGATTGAGCGGCGTGGGTTTGGCCATACTCCAGAGTCTCAAAAGCGTCTTCTCACCAATGAATCCCCAATGGAACTGAAATCACCGTCTCCCCAGCCTCCGAAATCAGCCCCAAAGACCAGCATTGTCGACAGCAACGGTAGTCCTCGACTCATGCCTCAGTCAGCCAAGAGCATGGCTGCGCCTCAACTTGACCTAGATGGTGAAAATAAGCAGGAAGAGACAACCAATGCCACTGACACCAGTCCGAGTGAATATGATCGAAGCTCGCGTAGTATATCCACCGAGAGTAAACATGAGGGGCTCATGTGGACCAAGTACCAGAGAGACATGTTCCTGGAATATGGGATCCAGACGGAAAACTTGGCCAGATCTTACCCGTGGTCGCAGCATAAGCAGCATCAGCCATCATTTTCTCAGGAGGATCCCGCTGATGGGGTAAATTCCGAAAAATCATCGACAAATGGACCAAGTTCTTCACAGCGAACGATCGATGAGAGACCATTAGGCGATGCTCCTTTAAAGAATGATGGATGCCTTGACCAATCGTTCCGAACAGATATATCGGGGTCACCACAGCCGGCTGCTAAATTGCACCAATCCTCTACGGTGGGCGATCATGATAATATGGAATGGATATCCACTTTGCAAGTGGCGCAGAAGGACGCCCACCACCTACTTCAACAAACCAATTCGGTTAGTCAAAACTTGGTATGAAAGGAAATGGAGCTTTGCTAACTGGGATTTAGCATTTGTCTACTCAGCTGGCGGCAGAAAAGGCCACTATCAGTCGAGTCTTGGAGATCTACCGAGAAGGGTGTACTCGGATCCTTGACGACCTGTTCCAGGCGCAAGAAGCACGAATGCAGCTATACCAGCAACAAATGCAATCTGTCAAGGAACAGCACGCGGATATATGTCAAGATCTGGTTCTTGGATTGCAGGAGCTTGACCGTCGGGTGCAGCAAGGACCAATCTGAAATCCAAGGGGTTAGAGGGGCGAAACCACAGGTTACATATATTATTTGAGACTGTGGCAATACAGGGTATTGCATGCAAGTGGCCGGATTCTTATACCAATATCCAATATCATAATATAATAATGTATATAATATCAAAATAGATTTTAGTCCACATTTTATAAATGGGATCGCCGTGATTGGAATTCCAGCGCCGGTCACCGAGGATCACGTGGAAATTGTTATACTCTGAGCTTTTGACTCATTCAAGCTGTTTCTTTTTTTATTTTTTTATTTTTAAGAAATTGTTACTCTTCTGTTCACTACAATCACTTGGATTTCTCTCAATTGCTCCCCTTAAACCTGTCCTTTCATCTTTTCTCTTCTCCCCCTCTACCCCCGATGTCGGCGAGTCAACCCCCTCCATTGATTTTAAATTTCACACTCTGACGTCGCCAATTCCACAGTTCTTCATTGATAACCCTAATGTGGGCAACCACAATCATTTGGAAGATTCTCGCAGTAAGTCTGGCAATTTTTTAATACGTAATTGGTCTCTAATAGCTTTAGTTCTCGGCTACAACCCTCTCACCCCTCCCAATCTCCTTCAACATGAGATCGCATTGACCGAGAAGTCACGACAGACCGTACTCGAGGGCCGTAATGAAGCCGTCGAGATTGTCCATGGCACAGATACCCAGCGCCAGCGTTTGATGGTAGTGATCGGACCATGCTCCATCCACGACCCCGAAATGGCCCTCGAATACTGCGATCGCCTAATGAAGATGAAGGAGAAGTATGTCGATGACCTTCTGATCGTGATGCGCTCGTACCTCGAGAAGCCACGCACAACCGTCGGCTGGAAGGGCCTGATCAACGACCCGGATATCGACAACAGCTTCAAGATCAACAAGGGTCTCCGCATATCGCGCCAGCTGTTCGTCGACCTGACCAACAAGGGCATGCCCATCGCCAGCGAAATGCTCGACACAATCTCCCCCCAGTTCCTGGCTGATTGTTTGTCCGTCGGTGCTGTCGGTGCACGCACCACTGAGTCCCAGGTCCACCGTGAGCTTTCCTCCGGTCTGTCCTTCCCCGTCGGATTCAAGAACGGCACCGATGGCTCCCTTGATGTCGCTGTTGATGCTATTGGCTCTGTCAAGCACCCCCACCACTTCCTGTCCGTCACAAAGCCCGGTGTTGTCTCCATTGTCGGAACTGTTGGTAACCCTGATTGCTTTGTTATCCTCCGCGGAGGAAAAAGGGCACCAACTACGATGCCGTTAGCATCGCGGATGCCAAGTCTAAGCTTATTGCCAAGGGCATGCGTCCCCGTCTTATGGTTGACTGTAGCCACGGTAACTCCGAGAAGAACCACAAGAACCAGCCCAAGGTTGCTGCTGTGGTTGCTGAGCAGCTTGCTGCCGGCGAGGATGCTATTATGGGTGTTATGATTGAGAGTAACATCAATGAGGGTGAGTTTTTCGAAAGTTTTTGCTATATATCCAAAGCTGTTTATACTGACCTGTGCTAGGCAACCAGAAGGTCCCCGCAGAGGGCAAGGCCGGCCTCAATTACGGTGTCAGTATCACGGATGCTTGCATCAACTGGGAGGATACCGAGTCAGTTTTGGAGACTCTGGCTCAAGGTGTTCGTGCTCGTCGCGAGAAATCGGAGACGAAATAAGCTATGTTGGTATATTCGGGTTAAATTACAACGGGGCATTTCTTAAGCGTGTCAAAATGGATCAAAAGTTCAATGATTTTACTTCGGCCTTGAAACTCAACACCTTTCAACTTAGGGCAATTTTGCTACAGCGACGATCCTTATATTCTTGTATGCATTCTCATAGGGCTTCGACATTTATAGTGGAGATATGGGGCCAATATTAGCCCTATGCCGTCATCAGGGTCCACGTCTACCTCGTTGAAGCTGACTTGGGCTAAAATGCTTGTATATTTTGGCTGGAAGATCTACAGTGAAAATAGAAAGAGATGGATCCTATCGCTTTGGAGATATTTTGAAAAACATGGTTATACAAACAATGAAATTTCATGACCATCAGTTGGATATGCATCACTTGAGTGTACATTAGTTCAGTTGGAGTCAATGGATTCCAAATCAGGTAGATTCGCATCAGTTGAGTCACGTGGGTTGGAAAATGTCGATATAGACTCTCGAGGCATGCTTGCTGGGAGCTCATCAACCCTGACGAACGGCCAAGGGAGCCAGTAAACGACATTGTCTACACAGGTCGCACTCTTCAGCATGAAACCAGGTGCACAGTCATCATATCGGGAAAACACCTTGTACCCTCTCCTGAAGGAGAATAGATGTATTGCTTCCCGTTGAACCAAGAAGTCAAAACTGGCCTCCAAGCCCAGAGCATGGATTTCATCTTCATCATACTCATGCTGTTTTGGGTAGGAGAAAGTTCTAAGCAAAGGATGGGTGCCATTCTCTTTATGTCTCAAAAACAATTTGAGTGCTTTGAGTGTTTCCAGTTCGAATTCAATTAGGCCTGAGTTTCGCCAGAGATCAGACCGTATATGAAGGGCTTCGAGAGTTGGCGGCAGCACATCTTGAAGTTCATAAGCCGTTGTCTCCCAACCAGTGAGAAAATTGAGAGGTAAAGATGCCGTTTGTAGCTTGGGAAACTTGTTCAAAATGCCGTGAAATGGGTTACCACCTGTTCCGTTCGTCACACGCAGACGGAAAGTTTCTGTACAACATGGTAAAAGCTCCAGGCCGAGAGAAAGATGTTTCATCGTTTGACTCGAAGTTTCCAATGAACGAAGGAGGCGCTCGGGCTCCTTGAAAAACTCGGCTATTTCCCGGCATTGGTAGCCCATGCCTAAATGTAAGGACTCCAGATATGGCACTTGAGACAGTAGTCTCGCGATATCCGCAGCCAACACAGATGACTTGGCAATAACAAGGCTGCGCAGGTTTGACAAATTCAACGATGTTTTCGGCATCTGCCTAGAGAAGACACAGATTCCCTCCACGTTATGGAGCCATATCTCGAGAATCTTCAAGGAAGGAAGGTGGAACCAAGGCATGAATTGATAGGATCCATGAAGATTGCTATTGTTACGGTAGTTGAGTTCTGTGAGAGGTGAATTGCTCCCATAGTCGACCATTTCTAGTCTTGAGAATCGAGTCAATACGCCAGGGGGTGCGTTGCCGAAGAGAGAATGATGCAGCATTTCCCCAGGAAAGCCCCCTTCAAGCACGAATGAAAAGTCTAGTCGAAGGCTGCGAAGGTTATGAAGCTGCGAGACCAGCAGTGTGGCGTAGAAGTAGGCGTCTCCATGAAACAGTCGTGCGAGTAATTTGGCATGGAGCTTTTCCGGGAATTTCGCGTCTCGAACAACCTTCCGGGCCCATCTCAAAGCAGGCCTACACTGTAGTGTTATCTTGGTCCAGTCGATATTTCCTTTGGGGATGAAAACCCCCGTTTCCTTTGAGGACTGTTCCACATCCCACCACACAAGACTGACATGCCAGACGTAATAAGCCAACTCTGGCCGCTCTGAGATAGTCCGGAGGAGTAACATGATTTTGTGAATCGGTGGATTCTTCCAATCCCAGTGAATTGACCGATACAGAAAAGCCTCAGTTGAGGCTCGAGTGTCACGAGAAACCCTTGACAGATTATCCAAATCCCGTGTTGGCAGATACTCGAGTGTCTGTATCCAGCAATCGAGAGGGAAATTAGCGAGGGGAGTTGAAGTCATTGTAGATATCGATTTTGGACGAGTACGCTAGATGAAAGTGGTCAGGATACTTCATTGAGAATCCAATCTGAGGAGGTCAACTTACTATGGCAAAGCAGGTCGAATTCGTCACAGAAGTCTCCCAAGAAGGACTGTGGAAGATGAAATGAGTGTAAAAGGTGAGAAGATAGAAGGAATGGATAAATGAAAAGCAATAAAAAAAGACCAAACTGAATAGAAAAGAGAGATAAAATGAAAAGGTGAAAGAAGAGGCAAGAAGAAGAGAGAAGAGAGAAGAGAGAAGAGACGAAAGAGGAAGGAGGCTAAAGTCAGCCCAAAGGGGGAGGTTCTAGACAACTGTAGCACATCTATGTTCTCACCATATTATATTAATACAAAGGAATCTTAAAGTCTATAATACAAGCTGCAAAAGATGAACGCCGAATAGACGGATCTTGATGTATACCATGAACACCAGCAGCACAAGGCTTGATCCCATCTACTCCAGCCGAATAGCGACCAGCACCATATCGACCCACAAACCCAGTCCTCATCTCCTCAAACTTCCGTTTCCTCGAACCCAAACCAGCCCTTTGAACGATACCAAGATCCTCCAATCCCCCATCAGAACCAACACCAAGAGACCGAGTGGGAGCATTACCAGTATCAACATCCAACACCGTGCCTTTACCATCTTCCCCAAAGGCCCAAACCCTAACCCCACCCTCAGAAGACTGCAAAGCAAGCTCCACAGTCCCCTTGACAGACCCAATCTCCTTGCCATATATCTTAAACGGCCACATCATAGCCGTAGGTTGATACGAGACAGATAAAAGGAACTCCCACTCACCATTCTGGTTCTGCACCAGACTCTCACATCGTTTGCGGGACCTCTCTGAGTCAACGTACCAATCGAGCGCGAGATCGCCATCGCCCATTACCCCGTCACCTTGACGTTTACGCTCCTTACGGATCACGTTGAATACGTCTAAAGGAATAGAGTACAGCACGAGGCGGTCGCCATATGCTGCAACGACACGGAGACCCCAGCGGAGGTCGGAGCCTGCGGTGAAGGTTGTTGGGACTGGGATGTCTGTTGGAGTCGGAGTTTTGTTTGAGAGAGATGGGGATGGGGGTGGTGTCTTGATCTGTCGGTGAGTGTTTGAGAAAGGCGGCGGAATGCAGACGAATGCGCGAGCTAGGCTTGTTGGCCCACCAATTGGAGCATCGGTGCCGATGCATAATAGGCTTGTGCGTGGTTCGATGAACATGATGTGGAAACCGTCGTTAATGGGGACGGCACGATAGTGGTGGCAGTGTGTTGCACGGACGAAACTGCGGGATGGGGCGTGGGGAATGCGGCGGCGATTGAAGGACTGGATATCTGCAAGGAAATGGAATTGGCTGGTTTTTGATTCGATTTTTGGTGATGATTCTGAGGATAAAGATGAAGGGGAGGGCGAAGGTGGGCATTTGCATTCGTGGAAGCCCGGTCCGGATAGTGAGGAAATGAGACGTAGCTCGCTGGGCGTTTCTGGGCTACTTGGGAGGAAATGAAGGGTTTCTGACGGCTGGGGGAGAGTGAAGTATCTGCGTTGCTCATTGCGCTTTGTTTCGTTCACGCTGTGAATCTCCATGCCTGCAGCGCAGCCGAAGGCAATGACCGGCTGGCCGGGACAGAGAGCAACTGTCCGGGGTGGGTTGTCTGCTGTGCAGACGTTGTAGAAGAAGTGGCGGGATGAGGTGGCCATTATCCTATTGGAATGAGATCCCTTGGTAGCTGAGTCTTTGGCGCAAGCCATATCCAAATTGCAGATCATACCAACACGGTTGCAAAGCAATGCAGCGATGGTGAATTGGGGCTTGCTGGTGTCGATGGCGGCCGATATAATATCGAACGGACATGAGATGCGTGAGACAAGCGCCAAGTCAGCATCGCCGAAGTCTTTTGCAGATGTTGGCCTAGACCTCCGACCCAAAAGTGAATAAATAAAGATTATGCAGCCTGATGTCACCAGCAGATAGTTGCTGCAACTGCTAATACTGAAAGTTGACACCCCTGACCCTTTTCCTTCGGCCAAAACCGGCCGAAGACGAGTACCGCGGGATTTCCTACTTGCAGAGTCAGACAGACTTGAAAAGTCTACCACAGTGGTGGTGGAAAAGCCCGGTTTCCCGACATTCATCCTTCGCCCCGAAAGGAGACATTCTGTTGCAAAGCGACGGCTCATCCTCCAGGCCTCGCTTTCATCTAGCCGGGAGATGCGTGGTGTTTGACGATCTTGCAGCCATGCATCCCACCACCCTGCCCTTTTTAGCATATTCTCAAGAAGCTTGTGGTTCAGGCTAGTCCGCATCCACTGTGAGCATGTCCGCCGGGCATTGTCGAAGTCCCGTGGTGTCAGCATGGAGAAAATCTCCAGTAGGATCTCTGCCGGTACAATATTTGCAGCAGGAGAGGACGAGCTGGTCGCCAGATTGTATTTTGACAGAGGTTGAGCCTTTGACATGTATCCTGCCACAGACTTGTTCAAAATGGAGGGCATTAGCCTCGTCGAGCTTCGTTTGGTGTGCTTGGTGGAAGCACTCGTGGACATATGACAGGCATAGTCTTGACTCGAAGACCGCAGCGCCGGCATGTCGATACACTCTTCCAGCAAAGAGACCACTGGATCTCGGCCTCTTCAATTCCAGAACATTTTTTTGGAAAGCAGATGTTGGAATTGAATCAATGTGAATTTGACGATCCTTCAATTGATAGGCGTCCAGAATAGAAGTGCATTCGGCGGTTGACAATATACCAAAGAGCAATATCTAAGATGGCGATTGAACGAAACAAAGGCCCAAGGGAAAATATATCTTCACACAATCAAGTTTATACAGCACTAAGAGTCCACCCGTGGATAAATTGTCTAGAACACTAGTAGTAAGTCCACTGATCTGCAATCTCTCTAGCCCAAACTGCTAGTAAATTTAATTTGAAAAGAATGTTCACTCACTAGGAAGTATATGCTAAGTGCAAGGTTGTATCAGCCTCCCATCTGAAAGCGGTGCCGCAAGAGGAATCCGATACGATAAAATGAAACCCGTTAGATTCGAGGGTGAGGTAAGGGCTGACTTGTTTAATTAAATACTGCATTTCACCAACTTCGAGAGGCGAGAACCTAGTTAACTATTAAACTAAGTCTACCATCTAGTTAAAATTCAATTATAACCCTTACAACCCTGGAATGTACGGCTCTGACGTCGAGACTTACAAAGTAGGTCTCTATGGCACCGTAGATGTACCACGCGGAAATCCGATAAGTGGAGCACGTCAAGAGATGTACAAGCGAAGAATATGCCTATTTAGGTGGCTAATACTACTACACAGATACATTGCAGTAAATGCAGCTACTGCCATTCCATTACGGAATGGACATCTGGGAGGCAACGGGTGATTTAGGGTGATTTAGGGTAGTTTAGGAGTTTGGAGTGAATACACATACTACTAACACTACCAGAACTACCAAGCCTAACTTCATGAGAATTATTCTACTTACATCCCATGGTTCAATTCTCAATCTACAAAATAATCCACTTGCCAAGGCACCGTAGCAGAGCCCTAGAGTCAGGCCGTTACAATATAGGTCAAGAGCCCCTGTTTGAACCGAACCAAGATCTTTCAGTATCAATATGCAACACTGACATTCCAGAGGATCTCGGGAAAAGAGAAGGAATGCGCCCCGGATGCAGCGCATGGTTTGGCATCTTTGTCGAACCTCACCGCTTACATGCATATATGTCTTTAATCGTGTGATGAATCTCATAACAATAAGATACTCACCAAGATCCTTGTACAATTAGTATTTAGTTCAGCATTTCCCACATTCCTTAACGCCCAAGGATGCTTTGTTTTGTCTCTGCTCTTTTCTCACTGTCTCATCTCCTCACCGCAACAGAGACAACTGTGCCATCCCCCACTGTTCAGGAATGTGCCCCCGACCATGTGGACCCTAGGGATTCCAGAAGCCGGTGATTCCGTAGATGTTCGAGGTATGTCCGCGCTGGAGGTTAGATCGAATCGATTTGTGATTTCAATCTTCGAATACTGTATTGTTTTCATATATCCATGTCTATGGATCACAATTGGGATGTGACCCCTAGCAGAATGATGTCTCAAGCTGTCTTCTTGAAGTTAACCCTTGAAACACACCTTTTTTTTCTCTCTCTTTGAACAAATGTACTAATTTACATACACATCTAGATTTTTTTGAATTTGCCAAGGAGGAAAGAAGACTTGAGGGTTTAACTTTCTCGCCCGCTGTTTCTTCGGTTGGACTGTATTGCTACTACCACGTTTACCGCGGGCTTATTTTGGAAGCGAGGAATGTGAGAAGAGAGTGAACCTAAGTGAACTCGATATCTTTACCGAGGAATCCTAGATGCAAGATACTCCGTTGGAGCCTATTGTGTGCCCGAAAGGCAGCTACTCACGCCTGACTGGTAGATAGATCACATTATTAGAAAGCGACGAAATTCAGAGATCATCAGTATTGTACAAACTCTATATTCGACTTTGACATAAACACCGAAATACATGGATAGATGAAAAAATCAAATGACAAAATCCAACTACTGTGCGGGAGGGGAATGGCGAGGGACAGGCGAGACGAGCCCGATAAAAAGAAAGTAAACATGTCACGCCGCCAGGATATCATAACCATGAAAACATATCAGAACAAGATAATGAGATGCGAACGAGGTATCAAGGTCATAAAACATGATGGGTCAAAGACATAAACAGAAAAAAAAAGAGTGTATTAACAAACGGCACAAGGGGTAGATAGGCGAACCTGAAATCCGTACAATCTGCAAGATTAAACGTTCGGTGTTTGGTGAGCCTCGAAGGCGGACGCGCCATTTCCATTGCGTTGAGTGTGGCTGCGACCGGGAAGCCAGGCAGCATGCAGCGGGACAATCAAACTCGGGTTGACGTACTTCTTTAGCCGCAATTCGAGATCGTGGCCGCCAATCCGTATCGGAAGGCTATCGCGATCCAGGCCCGATGGCGGTGAGAGGGTCGATGAAGGCGACGGGGAGATGTCGCCACCACCCGGCTGGTCTCGATTGATACTTTTGAGGGCAATAAATTTCATCAACGGTTCATATGTACGCCCAAACCAGTATGAAAACCATACGGTGAAGCCTAGAAGTGGCACCAGGAGTAGCGACCGGGTGATGGCTCGGCGCAGGGCTAGAACGCCGATCATGGCTAGCTGGTGAACCATTAGCCCCACGAATACGCGGTTGCAAATCATCGGCCATGCGCGGCCAGTGGAATGTTGCTGGTGATCCATGGCATACAGCAGTTGGTATTTGTAGATAAATTTGCCGACTGTGAAGTAGATCAGACCGAATAGGCAGATCAGCCACGAGCTCGGGAACACACTGTAAACCACACAGATAACCAATATCAAGATGGTTTGCGGGATGGAGAAACCGTAGCTGAACTTGGGAGGAGTTGACAGCTCCGCATATTCCCGTGGTGTGCGGGCCGATAGGAAGTGGAAGGGGTATAGTGCGACACTTCCGAATTCGAGGAGCCGGAAGGGGAAAAGGCCCAAACCCTGAAGAATCAACAGGTTGATGTAGAATGGGGCCAGGCCTTCGAGGGACTTAGCCAGTGCGAAGGCAATCGTTGTAGAATCTTTGAATGCATCCCGAAGATTTTCCCAGAACCCATAGAAACCACTTGCTGTTCCAAACACAGTGAATAGAAGGAACAAATTGAAGAATGAGAAGAAGAAATTCTTGGAGATGATGGACAGCTCAACATCACCACGCGACACCATTCCTTGGTTGTTCGAGAGCCCTGCAAAGATGATCAGCGATTTGAGGAACTAGATGTTGAATGGAAAACTTACACTCATACAGATAAGGCACAGCTACCGTCAAAAGCGAGAATGCGAGAGTAGGCAAACCCGTTTGAACCAACGATTTGATGATTGGATGCTCCTGGAGGAATTCTGCCAGCTGGGGGACAATTTTATGAAGGGTCTCGAGCTCCAGCAATGAGGCAATAGGAACCAAGAGCACAGACCAAAACACGGTGAGGAATCCAATGGCGATGGTGATGGACCATGACTGAACCATTCGTCGAGTACGAGACAAATAAGTATTTTTCCAAATAACATCTGCTGGCGCCGGCGCAAGTCGAGCGAACATTTGCATTGGGTGTGGATCAAGGATGGCCTGAACAAGCATTTGAGATGCGGCGATCGACTCCATCGTCACGAAAGCAATTTCGGTAGAAACGTATTCTTTCTCTCGGGCGTTTTGGATATATTCATCAATTTTCCGGAGTTTTTCCTCGTAGTAATCGATTGCATCGATCATCCGGAAACGAAACTTGAATGGACCATACCAGATGCGAACTTTGGGTCTTTCATTCGAATAGCCCGAGACATGCTCGCTCTCATGTTCAGATAGAAGCGCGGACCGTTCATCGTCTGTATCAGTGGGCGGTTGGTTGGTCAGAGGCAAGGTATTTCCATCGCTCTTTGGCCGCTTATATCCCAAATGTTTTGTCCATGCTCTCTCAAGGTCACGGATGACTTTCATCCTCTTGTCAATCAATTCATCAAGCTCGCGCCACTTCCGACACACCGTGATACTCTCAACTTTGCCCACTCTCAGCCCTTCTATAAAATCCTTGATCTGATCTTCGGTCCCCAAGTCGTCTGGGATCCCGGACAAACGAATGGTGCGATCAGTGGTGCTGGTCTGATTCCCGAGATAGGTTTGCCGAGTGCGGATGATTACTTTTGTCTCATCAAGAAGCATATAGATGGCCAAGCCACTGAACACATATGCAAACAACACATAAATCCACAGATAAGTAGGGTCTGTAACCGGCTTTTCCTTTTCAAACCCATCAATTGGATTCGTGGTCTCATTGCTGGGGACGTGATCCCAGCCAGGAAATCCATATTGACCGGTGTATTTGTAGTGCATAGGGAGGATGATTGCAACAGCGAAGATAAAGACAGCCAAGAGGAATCGGATCGCAAATTTGAAGAAAGATAAGAACTGCCCAGACACTTAAATTAGCAATGGTTCTTTCTCTAGTAGAGAAGCCAAAGCATTTGAACATGAACATACCACATATGCGTCCAGGCCCGCAGACTGCAGCACTTCCTCTTCTGTAATCTGATGGAGAACGGGTATCCAACCGAAAAGGGTATTCGGAAGTTCAGGTAGCCGCGAAGCAGCATTTCTTTGCCGTCGTCGCGCGGCATACAACTCGGTCCATTTTGGTCGCAAGATCTAGAAGTAAAGCAGTCAGCGATGAGCAAAACCCACAATAGCGACGGAGACACATACACAGAATGTCAAAAATGCGCTGAGACCCAGCGCGGAGCTAATCACAAATTGTGTGTACAAATCGCGCTGTTCTCTCAACTGATCTTCCCACCGTCTCTTGCTTCCGCCATCGCCATCGGGGCTGTCGGCAAGCATGGTCAACACAGCGGAGGTCGCTGATGCCGTAAGAGACATGACGCTGTTTTATAAGGGGTTGCCGCACTCCGGGTTTCCGTGATGGCTTCGACGAGCGAGGGGCTGTCGGAGCTAGTGGTTCGTCAAGGGCATGCGGCAG